GTAGATAAAATTTAAAAATAAACAATATTTAAAAGAAAAACTTTTGAATCATAAAAGATATGAGAAAAATTAACTTAAGTAAAATTTGAAAATGTTTTGGCAAAAAAAATATATGAAAACAACATCCACATTATTTAACAAAATAAAAATAAAATCAACTATTTAAAAGTAGAAAGTTAAAAACCACACGTGCAATTATTAACAATATAAAAATTGAAATTTGATTATGATACTTAATATAAAATTCATTTAATTTTTTTAATATAACCAATAGTCTTTTCTATATATTTTTTTCTAATTGATCCCTCTCTCGTATAGAAAACTTGTTTAATATTTAAAAAGATCAAATATAAAACTCATGATATTTAAAGTTCACGATAATTATAGGAATAAAACACTAAACTAAATTATATATATTATTTAATTAAATAAATAAATTATAAAAACATTTAAAAATAATAAGTAGGCAAAAATTATAATTAACTTTTTCGGGACTAAAAAGTTTAAGCTTATAAAACATAAATTTAATTAAAATATACTACTGTAATAATATAAAAAAATAATATTATCATCTAATCATAAATTATCAATTAAAATATATCAATACCACAGTATTGCGAGTTGAGATATTTCAAAGCAAAAACAAAAATATATAAATACCAAAAAAAAAAAAAAAAGCAAAAATGCAAGACATTTTGAAGGGGAAAAAGAAAACAAAGAACGGAAAACACACACGTAAACACTGAATTGGATGAGAATATTCTATTTCTAATAAAAAGAAAGAAATAAAAAGGAACCTCAAAAGCTTGAACACCGTAGCCATGGCGAATAGCCAGCGACGCCATCTCCAACCCCAATTCATCCAATCCAACGAACCCAACCACTTTCCGTGACGCCATTGCGATTGCAGAAGACAAACTCAAATGCAAATGAACACTCAAACCAATACTTCACCAATCTACAACATATATATGAACACACACAGAGAGTGAGAGAGAGAGAGAGAGAGAGAGAGGATCGAAGCAAAAACTGATGAAATTGAAAAACGAAACGAGTCAAAGAACGAAAGAGCAAGGAAATTACGCTTTCTGATTGGGAATCGCTGTCCTTGCTTCATCTTTCTCTCATCTCTGCTCCTTATTTATATATAAAGAAAAAATAATAATCAGAAGTGTTGTGAGGCCAATGATTAAAAAAATATGCCGCATACAAAGCAGAAAGGTGCTATTATTTGTTAAACAATAATGATATTTGAATTTCACTTTCTCAGTTTTCTGTCGTACAAAAATTAAATTATTTTTTAAAATATTATTACTTAAATTAACTAGTTATAGTTTTAAAGTTTTAACATATTATGTTAAATTAATTATATATATATATATATATATCTTAATTTCAATAACTTATTTTCATATTTTCGTTAATTTAAAATTTTATCTTTTAAATTTATTCTTATTCAGTAAAATAAACATATCATCTGTACTTTTGTTATGTATAGGTATTCTATTAAATGATAATTTTTTTAAGAGTCTTCTTTTTTCTTATTAAACCATGTACTCACTTTTATATTCAAAATAACATTTATTTTTTATTATTATTTTTATGTTTTTATTTATTATATATTTAATAAATTAATTAAAATTCTCATTAAGTAATGAATTAGTTAAAATAGATTTAATAATTTAATATTTTTAATATAGTTGTTATTAAATCTATGTTAATTTATTACAAAATAATTACTAAACAACATTTTTATCTCTACGATAATTGTATAACACTAAAATGCAAATTAAATAAATAAAAATTAAGCATACCAAATTTATAATAAATTATATAATAAATACACAAATAATAAAAGTAATTATTTAAATTTTTACTAACCTTTCTTTAAATACAGATTATTCTTGATAAATAAAAATTTAAATTTTTTCAACCTATTTCAAACAAATTATAAAAAATTAATATTTATAATTAATTATTTTCAATAATATAAATTAAGCCTCCATCGATATCTCTTGAATCATGACGCTGAGTCACTTCCACGTCATCCATACCCGCTTTATACGTTTCGTAGGGTTATTCATTTACGTGTTATTAATCTACTTGTTTATATTTTATATTTTATGTAAATAAAATTAAGCATTAATAATGATAATAACTAACTATTCATAAAATGCTTCACATATTTAATAATATCAAATATTATTATTAATTATTAAATAGAGTTTTTAATATATAATCAGAATAGTAAATATTTTAATATTAATGTAGTTTTTGGATTCATTGAAAAGAGGATGAAAGGCATAATTTTCTAAGAAAAGTATTATTTTCTTTCATTTGAATATTTTGTTATTTTGTAAAAGGAACAAAATTTCACGTAGGACCCACAAAAATAAAATTACTCTTCCAATGTCAAGATTTTCATGCAGTGGTTTGAGCGTGTAAGAGAGAGCCTTGTAATATTTTTTATATATTTTATTAAAATAATATAAAAATATTTTTTTAAATTATATAACTAGAAAAATTATATGAAAAATTTTATTTTTTAGTTAAAATATAATTTTTATTATGATAAAATATTTTTTATATAAATTAATTTTTTCTATTCTCTTTTCCATTCATCTAAATAATTTAAGTAAATTTTTTTTACTGAATTTTCTCTTATTACTATCTATTCAGATAACACATTTTATATCTTATTTTTCATTTTTTTTCTCACCATATATTTTTTATTTAATTTATTTTTACTCATTTTCTATTTCAGTATAACAATGGTAGGGATTTAATTGGATTAGGGTAGACTTTCTTAGTTTTTAAAAAAATGAATTATTAAAATATATTTTTTTCAAACAAATTTTATGAAACAGTTTTTGTTAAGTCAATGCTAGTTTCGCAAAATCTTTTTGGTATTTTTTAAACAATTTCATATACTATAAAAATAAAAGTCAAGAAATCATGATATTTAAGCAATTTTGTTTATACTATAAACAAAACTAATTTAATTTTTAAATATATGTTTCTGACGCAACTTTTCATCTTGTCAGCTATTAGCTAAAGCAGGGTTCCTTTTACACGGTGCTGATGCTGCTGCCATTTTTATTTTATTTTTTTAACAAATTTCGCATATTTGATAGATGAAATTGTTTCCAATTTTAACATTTATCGTCATCTTTAAGTTTTCTCTCTCTCAACTATGAAACTTCTTCAAAAAAGTTTCACCTTTTCCAGTACCTAACAAAAAGTATTCAATTATTTTGTTTTAAAATAATATTATTTTAATAATTAATTTTAAAAAATATAAAAAATATTTACGATATAGATCAGATTTAGACCTTTTTAACTTAACTCACAAAAGTTCATTACTTCTTGTAAAACTATCTAAATAGGTTAAATAACTTATTTTGTTACCGTTAAGATTATTTATATCATTATTTAGTAGTAATTAGGATAAATACTAAAATAAATATTTTTAAAAGAATTAAAAATAAATTTTAATGTATTTTGAAAGAAAAATATATTTAATCTAATTTTTATAGCAATAATTAATTATCATGCACAATTTTACCATACTCCACGTTATGAATTATGGAAAATAGTTAAAAATTTTGAAATTTGCAGATTATTTGAACAAAAAGAAAGAGAAAGTGAAATAAAAGGAAACAAATAAAGTAATAATTTAAATAAAAAAAATAAGAGAAGGAAATAAAAATTTTGCGAGGTGCGGTCCACTAATAAAACCCCTTCCTCCTGTGCGAGGAAGCTGGGAGGGGTAGGAAAAGGGATTTTATATTTTTTTAAAATTATTTTTATATCATATAAAAACAATTTAATTAAAGAAAAAACATTACAAATTTTAGTTTGAAATTTATAGTTAATTTTTTATATTTATTATAAATAAATTTTTAATATAATTTTTTTATTCTTTACTTTATTTCTTATTTATCTAAATAAGGGGAAGACTTTTTTTTCATTTTAATTCACTTAAATAACACATTAATTTATTTTAATTTTTTATATTTATATTTTATTTTAATTTCATCATTCTGCAAACCACAATTTTAAAATTTTAAAATAAGAAGGAAGATAAACTTAAACCTAAATAAAATAATTAAAATTTTTTAATTTTATTTTTCAGAAGAAACGGATGTTGTTATTTGAACATATAAGTATAATAAAAAATTTAAAAATATATTAAAATAACAAAGATTATTATTCTATCATATGTATCTTTAATTAAATTTTTTCATAAAATAGAATTTATACTAAAAAATAATAAGATAACTCTTTATAATAATTTTATTAATTAAATAAATCCTAAAATAATCATTATATCTTATCTTTATTATATTTTTTAATCATATTCACTAAACATGTCATTAAAATAATAATTAACCGGAGCCTTACATTTTTGGGAGTTTGATTAAAAACCGCAAGTTAAACTCTAACAAATTTTTATAAGTTAATTTATGTTTTTGTTATGTAAATAGAAATTGTAAAATAATATAAAAATAAAACTTAAATGCATGATTATAAATATTATCACTACTACATTTAATCAAAAATAGTATTATTTTAGTAATTTATATATCAATTATCATATGAAAAATTTACACAAATTTATCACAAATCTATGTGGTTAATTTTTTTATGATTAAAAAATTACTGCTTTGTTAATAAATACATCTCAAAGAATGGTATTCGTAAACAGTTTTTGTCAAAATTTTCGTACCATTCAGTATTACTCTAAAATGAAGACAAGTGGTAAGTTTTGTCATTAATATAAACCTTTTATTTAGATTAAATAGCGATGACGTGTAATTTTGTTATTGGTCAATGTGTACAACGTAACTTACTATGGTCGCGGTCGCAGCACATCAAGTTTTGGATTAAACTTCAAAAGACTAGGACGACGTCGTATCTCTGGTGACTCAGGTATCATTTCAACTCTCAACTAGTGACCCTTCTTTTGCTTTCTGTTTGGTTGCCGAGAAAATTTTCCAAAAACTTTTCCCTTTCCATTTTCTCCCCTCTCTGCGATTGCGAAAAACGACAGCACTTTCTCCGCAGCAAAATCCTTCTACGAAACCGCATTCAGAATCGCCGATAAACTGAGGTGTGAATTCCTGGTAGTTGTTTGGAGCATGAATTTATGAATGTTGCTGTCTCTGCATTTGGTTACTGCATTACATAAACCTGTTGTTCTCTCTGTTGTCTGAGGTTGAGAGTGTTATTGTTTGCAATGTGTGCATATTGATTATGCTTACTTTGGAATTGTGTGAAAATGAAATTAACTTGTTTTGAAAAGAAGGGGATTTGTTTGCGCATTCTAGCATTTTCAGTTTTGATTACCACCTTTGAGTGCGAGTAATCCATTAATGTTATTTTAGTCCTGCACGAGAATAAAGAATAGAGGAAAGAGAGTAGAAACGAAAATTTTGGGCTAAGTGAAACTTAATTATTATTTACCTGTATTTTATAATTAATTTTTATAGATATTTTTTAACTTTATAGTAATACAGATGGAAATAATACAATAATTAGACAAAGTATAAACATTTTGTTGTGTTTAGAATGACTTGTGCGCGTTTTTAAAACATCAATTCACTCTTTTAATTTAAGATTTTTGGATTTTGTTAATTTCATATTAATTTTATTTGCTATATTATAATTGTGTCTTGTTCTATATCCCATGTCATATCTGCGCTCCCTAGCTCCTGTCTAGATATAGGTATATGATATCATTTTTTATATAAATTCCTTCTACAGACACATCCCTTTATCTGCATGAATTGGCGTACAATTAAAGGCATCATATACATAAACGCACCCTTCTTTGTGTGTTCTGCATCTCTCATTCATCTACTAGGACCAACACCAGACTCTTTTGAAATTTCAAAGTAAATTTAGGGAGAACTGCATAAACTTCATAATTTCATGTCCTGGCTTTAAATGCAATAGCATCAATAGGGACTCAATGTAAAAACATGGGGTACTTAGGGAAAGTTGAGAGGATATACCTACTAATGTCTATCATTTTCTTGTGCCTTTCTTGCTTTGTTCTCTTCTATAATCTGTGGCCATTATGTTTCAGTCCTGGTTTATTTTTCGTTTGATGAATGAAGCTTCTATTTCATCCCCATACTGTTGTTGAGTAACAATTAACAACGGAACTAAGTTCTGTTTGTAACTTGCCATAATTTCCCAGTGTAATGATGAAATAGTGAAACTACAATTTTAATTTTTTATCTCATGCGCATGAACGACATAGGAAGGGTGTGAAAAGGGATAAATGACCTTTCATTGGTTTATATTTTCATGATAGAATAACTTTCATTTCCATACTTCCATTCACTGACATACATCTGTTGAAAGCAGTCCTAGTTTCTTAATGGAGAGTTCTGAGGAGGAAAATGATGGAGTCTCTGGTAATCATGTACCCAAGGAACTGAGTCGTTTAGCATCTAATGGGATGAAATTTATAGATGAAGTACTCAATGGTCAAAATGAACGTTGTGTGGATAATTTTCGCATGGATAAGCATGTATTTTATAAGTTGTGTGATATCCTACAAGCCAAGGGTTTATTGCGTCACACAAATCGAATCAAAATTGAGGAGCAACTGGCCATATTTATGTTCATTATTGGGCATAATCTGCGGACAAGGGCTGTTCAAGAGTTATTCCGTTATTCTGGAGAAACTATTAGTCGTCACTTTAACAATGTTTTGAATGCTATAATGTCAATGTCACTGGATTTCTTTCAGCCTCCTGGCTCTGATGTTCCTTCAGAAATCTTTGAAGATCCTAGATTCCATCCATATTTTAAAGTAAGATTTCTTGAACTAAGTTTGATAATAACTTGTTTGGGTTGACTCTATCTCATTTTTTTAAATATTCCTGAATAGGATTGTGTGGGAGTAATTGATGGTATACATGTACCAGTGACAGTTGGTGTAGATGAACAAGGACCTTTCCGGAATAAGAATGGCTTACTCTCACAAAATATTTTAGCAGCTTGCTCCTTTGACCTCAAGTTCCATTATGTTTTGGCTGGATGGGAAGGATCTGCTACAGATTTACAAGTTTTTAATTCAGCAATCACAAGACGGAATAGATTGCAGGTCCCTGAAGGTAATATTTGTAAAATGCAGATGTGATTTAAGTAGTAATACTGTTGGAATTCAGTCTCTTGACAATTGACATCATTAAATTGAAGTTGATCAAGATAATATGTTTTTTCATCATTTAGTTGATGTCAACTTTATATGGTTGTTGTTGTAAGAGATTGACAGTTGGGAGACGGCAATGCCAAGTGCCAACTTAGGTGATGGTGGTCTATTACTTCCTATTGTCATGGAGTTGCTCAAAAGGAAAACATTCCACCTTCTTGTTATAATTAAGACATAATTCAAATGAATAAAACTTGGGCAACAAAAATGAAACTTTATACGAATTTTAAGGACAAAGGGTTAGTTATATCCCATGATCAGATTACCCTACATTTATAACTTCTGCTTCAATTTTTTTATTAAAACACTTGTTTATGATACAGGTAAATACTACATAGTAGACAGCAAGTATCCAAATGTGTCAGGTTTCATTGCTCCATATTCCAGTACTCCTTACCACTCCAAAGAATTTCCCAGTGGTTACCACCCACAAGATGCAAGTGAACTATTCAATCAACGACACTCATTATTACGAAATGTCACTTATCGAACTTTTGGGGCTCTAAAGGCACGGTTTCCTATATTGATGTCTGCTCCTTCTTACCCATTACAGACACAGGTGAAGTTAGTGGTGGCAGCATGTGCATTACATAACTACATTCGCAGGGAAAAACCAGATGATTGTCTTTTCAAGATGTATGAAGACGCATCATTTCCAATGGAGGAGTCACTACCCCCATTAGAGTTGGAAGTACAGCCAAAGTCGGATGTTGAGACCCAGACTCAGTCATCAGATCATACTTTAAATGCTGAAGAAATTGCACTTGCTTCACAGTTAAGGGACTCCATTGCAACTGAAATGTGGAATGATTTTATCCATGATTATCCCCCCATGTAATTTTCTTTAGTTAAGCTTATATGCTCAGGTTAGGCTTGAAGTTTTCTCAGGATCTACAATATATGAGACTCCAGATTTATACTGACTGTCATAGTTTACATTGGCATTTTGTATATAAAACAGAAGTATGCCAGTGGATCACATCTCATCATATAAACTTTTGCCTTTAATTTTGTTAAGATGGATTATACAGCTCAATTTAAGGGTGAAAGTTTTTTAATCCCTGATGGCAGATGAAAACAAGAAGGAGATTGCCTATAGCAGCAAAGGGCAGATTCAGAGGGGAAGAGATGTTTTTACTTTTCATTAAAGGTTTTCAATTGTTGAATTTGCTTTTAGATTTTCCTTGAAAATTGGTGGTTACCCTTTTCCTTTAGATTTTGCCAACTTTTCTGTCCAAATTTCATGAATTGTTTGGAAGGGGTCTTTTGCTCTTTACTTTCTCTCATTGCCAAGAGAGCTCAGCTCATGTGGGAGACCATCATATTCAATATTCATACTGTGGTTCAAACCGAAAGGATGTATAGTTGGTGCAGTGTACTCTATCATATGTTCATGGGACCATTATACGGAATACAAGGGACATGGATTCTTGCCTACGTGACATTGAAATGTGAGGGAAAATAAAGGAACATAGACAGGGAATTCACTTAGCTTGCAAGGCCAATCATGTTACTGTCATGTTATGGAGTTCTGGGGCTTTGATTCAATCTTCCATAAGATATTTTACAATATTCCACATTTCCTTGTGTGTGAATATTTTTTACGGCAAGCCTGAACTCCAAAACATTTTCAATATGAAATCACTAAATAAAAAGGGTGTGATTGGTTTTTTTCTTTTTCAATGCATATGTTTGAACTAATAATTATAAAGGGTGGGGCATCAAGCTAGAGTTACTTCACTTAATAAAGTTCTATATGCATTGAATTTTATCAATTTAACCATTTATTTGGAGTTTTTATTGAGTAAATCAAGTCTAAAAAAATTATATAATTCAAAATTAATCAAAAGTTTACCGATAACTTTATTTTAATATCTAATATATTTTTTAAAATATAAATAAATATTAACCATAAAATCATATGTTTATAAACATTTAATTTATTTAAAGCATGATTGTTAGATCGGTGAATTTTAATGTTTATAAAGAGTCTACAAAGTTTGACAGAAATTACTCTTAAGAATAAATAGAACCCCACTATTAAAAATATTATATTTTATTTTCTTTTTGTCTTGTGATTTTTGTGAGGGAAATATTAAAAAATTAAAGTGAAAATAGGAAACGGAAAAAAGAACAAAGGTGCGTTGAAATAGGGAGAAAATGAAAACAATATTTTGTTGTTTCTACTGCTTATTATTCAAATCTTTAAAAATAAATAATAAAGGAAAATCAATTTGTATTTTAAAAATTATTTATAAAAAATGGAAGATGTAAAGTGTATTCTCAAGTTAAAGAAATTTACACCTGTGCAAACATAATTGCCCATATCTGTGCTTTAAACTTTTCATATGAATCCCCAAAACTCCCAATTGAACCGTAAAGCTAAATCACAGGCTCCCTGAGTTTAGTCTCTCAAGTCTCAACTAAAAAGGACCAAAAGAATGTGATGTACCATGACTTCACCTTTATGCACTTTATGCACTTCCCTTGTGATCTACGTTGCATGACTCATTAAATATGTGTTAATATTCCACAATAATGTTAAATGAGTCATAAATTCTTTAAAAGTGAACTTGTGCTTCTCTGCATCTATTATAGTTCAATCACAAAGGTATCTAACCTATCAACGCTTGGAGTTAGAATGATGGTGGTGATAGCTAAGCCTTTTAGTTAGGGACATACTACCAATTGATACATTACATCATGTGATAGTCCCTTTCAAGTTAGCTTTAGCTTAAATTGAAGATTGAAGCATCATTTTATTGTAGTTTACTTAGACCTTTATGTTTGATTCTAAGGAAAATAGATGGTAAACTTTAAGAGTAAAAACAATTTAAATTTCTTATACTCAAATTTTACATTTTTTTTAGCTCTTCTTATAAAATGTGAGCATAAGAAATGCTAGTAACACTATCACAAGCATGATTTGATTATCTCTATGCACTCATTCAAAACTATATTATATACTATAATAGATATTAATCTTTCTAACTATTATATCTGACCGATTTTCAAAATTTGAATACATAGACATTTCTTTTGTATAAAAATTACAATGTTTGAGAATTAAATATGAAATTAATCTTCTTAGTCATTCTTTATAAAATATTATAAACGCTTTAAATTTTTATTTAATTTAAATGATGTGATTGTATCCTTTTTGTTGAATTGTAGAAGCCTTATGCAATTAATGTGACTCTGGTAGTGTTGAAAATGTTTTCATCCCTCTATTAATAAAGGATATTAAATTATTTTAAAAATAAAACATTATTTTTAAAGGAATCATATGAAAAACATTGATTTGTTTCTTGTAGTTATTAACAAAGCTAATAGTTTAGTCTAGAACTTACATTTTTAGTTTAAAAAACACCTCAAACTCTTTAAAAAAAACTCATTTTCTATTGAGAAATAAGAAAACAAAACAGGAGATAAGAAAGAAATCACATGTATGATCAATATTTTACTTTGCCTCACACAACTACATTGCATTCAACTATCTTATCAAAAAATAAGTAGGAAAGAAAATTTGCTTGGAAAAAAAAAAGAGAATAATCATAGAGAAAATTGCAATAAAGGAGACATCTTACCAATACATGTTGACTTATCCCTGCATCTTCTATCAAATCTAATCCATAAAAATCTTAAAAGGTTGAGAGAGACAAGCGTAGGAGGAAACATCAATCAGAAAAGATTACTGTTAGGCGTTAGCTTGGGCCATTATATATCATTATAATTATTATCTAGAAATTATGTGATGGCTTTTGTAGCTGGTGTTTCTATCTTGATGGTATTGTTGTTAACTGTTAGATAATTGTTGTGTACATTTTAATACAGAAAGCAAATAAGGTTATGGACCCTCTAAAAATAAAAAAGTTGGAAGGCATTCTTTATATTTTTTTCACCCTTGTATCTGCTAAAACATATGCAGACAGGTGAATACTTAACTACATTCAGCTATCCAAATATATTTAAGATAATTAAATAAACTACATTAAAAATGTAATATGAAATATCAAAAACTCATAAACTGTCTTTTTTTAAGATAAAAAAATCAGAAAGTGTCTTTTAAGTTCAAAAAATCTAAAATTAATCATTTCTCATAAGTCATGGTTGTCATTAGTCCAAAAGAAAATTGCATACAATAGAACACATTGTTAAATAAATCAACTTCACACGTGAACTTAATAGACCCTTGGAGCACTTACATAATCCTGCAAGTTTCATAAACTGTCTGTGTCTGTTCATAAAAGAAGGTCAAAATTCTATAAAAAGAAAAGAAAATGTGATACTGAAGTTTTGCAGCATCATTTTCCCAAAGCTGAAACGCCCATGACCCAGTTGGGTAATAATAATCATCTAAAACACAAACCCATCATCCCTTTTTCTTTGATCCTCAAATTGCTTTTTCATCCATTCCTTATATAATGCATTTAAACCCTCAAAGCTAAACATAGCACATAAACCCACAATCCAATTTCCTCAAAAATCCACAAACACCTCCAAGAGAGTTTATCAGCACTCACAGCACAACAATGCTAGATCCAGCCACTGAGTTAGTGCCACCACCATCCTCACCCACAATCTCTTCCATTTCCTCCTCTGATCTTGACACTGAGGTAAAATCAAATTCATTCACACCCCCCAATTCTCAAATTTCGTTAAAATTCCCTTTTTTCCACACCCCAAAATTTCAATTTTCCTTAATTTTAATTTTTGGTGAGAAATTAATCATAAGTTTTATTTTTTTTTGTTTTTGGGGTATTGAATGATAGTCCACTGGATCATTCTTCCATGACAGAAGCACCACATTGGGGACTCTTATGGGAGTGAACTTCCCAACCATTGCATTCAGAGTCCCATCACAGCACCGAGACCCACATTCCGCCGCCGCCGCTGCCGGCCTCGCAGAAAGGACCGCCGGAGCTGCCAAGAAGAAGAAAAGGGTGGGCACCGCCGTCACGGCGGCAGTGGCGGAGAGGCGGCGGCGATGGTGGCAGATTTGCCGGGACGACGACGCGGGGCCGGCTTCGCTCGGCGAGTTTCTGGAAGTGGAGCGGCGGTTCGGCGACGGCGCGTTCTACGGCACGGCGGCGGAGCTTGAGGGAATGGTCGCCGGCCATCACCAGAGGAACGGAAGCAGGGTGCTCTTCGCCGACGGGAGGGTTCTTCCACCGATGGCCGATGTCGACGACGGACTACCGGCGGCGGAAAGCCTCTGTAATAGGTTTCCGGTTTCACTCGCCGGAATTTGCAGCGGCGGTGCAGCTTAGTGTTGTCATAAAGCTTTTTTATTTTTTGTTTTATTTTAATAATTTCATATATATATATAAAGGAAAATTTTCGAGGTTTTATTTATATGGTAATCTCGATTCTTAGACCTAATGACGAGTTTAAATGATTAAAAATTATTTTTAAAATTTAAATCTTCTTTTATATGTATAACATAATTTTCAGAGAAACTTACAATCAGTTACAGTGTATTTTTATTTGATAAATACCATTTTTTAACATGATTATATTGTGTTGTTTATTAATATAAAAACATCTAAATTAAAAGGTTATTATTTTTTAATATTAAAATGTAATTAAGTTTTGTGTTTAATTTTTTTTTTTTCATTATTTTTTGGGGTTATTTGGTTGTTACCTAATTGGCATATTAGGATTCTTTTTGTCTGTGGTTCACATTCAAAAAGCAAGCTGGGCTTTTGGGTTTTCTACTCTCTTTTTTTCCCCTTTTGTTCTTTTGATGCACTATGCTTTAATCTTTACGGTGGTCCCAATTATGATCATATATTAATAGGGGTTTTAAGTGGTGATTGGTGCTAATCATGTGCTTCATTTACGCCAAAAATCAAAATGATTATCAGAAGAAAGATTACAAAAAGAAATTAAAAAGGTATTATAAAAATTGAGTCAAAATAAAATAATAAAGTCCTACCACGTTCCATTTTCTGAATTTATTAGTTTAATCATGTCAATGTTATTATAAAATGTCAAATTCAACTTTATAGTAACACTAATCTTATTTTTTAAATTTATTTGCAAAGTAACACCAATCTTGTTAAAAGGGAGGGATGTGTATTATTATTAAGAGAAGAATCGAAAAATCAGAATTAGAGAACTAGTAGGCACATCCACCATTCAAAATTTAAAATTGATTAAACGCAATATGATACATCACACCATTGCATAATAACATGAAAAGAATTCATTAAACTAATTAATTTTATGTAATTAGTTATTTTTTTAAAATAAATGCTTATGCTTTTAATGAACTCTTTTCACCCTTAAACTATTCATCTTTTTATTATGTAGTCTATTTTGAACTCTCAAAGGATTCAGTCAATTCAATTTCTTTAACTTCTTTTCCTCTGCTCCTTATGCTGTCAAATACATTGTTGCACTGAAATAGCAATAATTAATTGGTTCAAAATAATAAAGTATAAATCAAATGCTTACAATGGTGGTTTAAGTTATACAAGTTTAATCAAATTTTAATTTTAATTCATGAAAATTTATTTCAACTTGTTGAAAGTAAAAACAAAAATAAAAAATCATTTTCAAAATACTAATATAAGATAAATTTCAATAGAAAAATTAAGCAAACTAGCATATAAACCATTAAACTTGATTTATCTATAATACAATAGGGAAAGAGATGGTATATAAAATGTGGACATTTCGTATTCTAGAATGCACGCTATTCCTACCAAAACCTGAGCTATAGAATTTTAATTAATCAAATCTTTCTATTTTTAAAATTATGCAAATTAAAATCCTTTTTAAGTAAACTTTTTGACAAGTTCTTATAAAAGAAAAAATTAATATAAAAAATAAATAAAATTTCTCTTAAAAATGAAAAATAACTTACTTTTCTATTCTTTTAGAAGTTTTAAAATGTTCTCTCATTTAACTTTTTTAAAATATAAAAAGATAAGTTATTTTTAACTTGTGAGAAAAAAATTATTTATTTTTTATACTAACTTTTTTTTTCCCTGTCTGTAAGAACTTTTCTACAAGTATATCCAAATAGGATCTTGAGTCCCCTGTCAATTTTCTTCTGCTAGTGAAAGAGCAGTGTCAGATTATGAACCTGCAACACATCATTTGGGTTCTGAAAACATCTTTATGTGGACTTCAGTTCTTAACCTTATATATATATAGGTAAACTAACCAGAATACAAAGTTATTAAAATGTAGAATTAGCAACAGCACTGGTGTTGTCTTGAGAACAATGGTTAAGAAAATAATGTTATGGAGAAAAATGGAGTGTAGATTAGTAATAGCAGCACAGAGAACTACATTGTTGTTGTCAGTTCCTAGTCCTACTACTTCATCGTATGATGTATCGTACAAGGGTTATATATTTACAAAATTAAATATAAAAAAAAATAAACATTTCAGCTAATAAATGGATCCTAGAAACTTAATAGACAGCATTTCAGGAACGCATTTGCCAAGGAAGATGGATAATAATCATACAAAGACAACAGATGAATCATGACAACAGTTGAATGTTAAAATAAGTTCAATAAACATGTGAATTGAGTAAAACTTGCCCAAGGAGCTGGCCCTGGTGTAGTTCAACTTCTCCGACCCAAAAGAAACTTGCATTTGCTAAGCATTTAGACAATCTCACCTTTAGTATAAGTATGTGAGGGTAACTGCAATATCTCACCAGGTTTTATCATTTGTTTAAATCTCCAGAAATCATTTCTTGAAGTAGTTTCTCTGCTTTATCAGTCTCATTCTTTTATTTCTAAAAGGAAAGTCCACTGCATCATGGAACAAACCTTCTTAGCGGAGTCCACTGACAATAGTGTTATATCTGATAACTTTTACACACAAAGTTGAACAATCTCTTGTGCAATCTTCATTCTTTGATCACTGTAAAAACTATCAAGTTAGGCAATGGGCACCAAACAAAACAAAGTTTTTTTTGACACCACTGAATTAAAACAGTCACCTTGTCAAGTTTCTGGCTTTCACAAAAAAGCATCAAACAAGATATTTTAAGTGACAGATGGCCAACCATTATCATGCTAATCATCAGCAAACTCCCATGCATATGAGATTCTCTGGGATTCCTGAATCATTTGTTAGAGAACTATGAGTTTATAGAATCAAATTGCTGCAAGACATATCCCTGAAGAGATTCATGGCGTCATTCATTCCTTTTAATCCTTGCAATTCCTCAATCAACGTGCAATGACTCAAATCATCATAGGCCAAACATTAGGTTTAATAATGCAATTGCCTAGACAGCGTGTTGTATTTTGCAAAAAGCATCTAACAAGGTATTGTAAGTTATAACATTAACAGGTGGTCCACTTTTATGCATCACATTGAAAAGCTGCCATGCATGAGAGATTCTCCCACATCTACACAAGCCATCAATGAGAGAATTATAAGTTATAGAATCAGGAACCAAATTTTTGCCAAGCATTTCTTCAAAAAGGTTCATGGCTTCATCAATCCTCTCACTCTTGCAATACCCATTAATCAAGATGTTATAGCTTGAAACATTTGGAGTCAATCCCCTTTCAAGCATTAGATTAAATAATTCAATTGCCTTATCAATATGTTGGATTTTGCAAAAAGCATCTAACATGATATTGTAAGTGATAACATTAGGGAATGGACCACCAGCATGAATTGAATTAAAAAGTTCCCATGCATGAGATATTCTCCTTGATTTGCACAAACCATCAATAAGAGAGCTGTAAGTTATGATATTAGGAACCAAATCTGTGTAACGCATTTTTTTGAAGAGGCTCAAAGCTTCATCAATCCTTTTACTCTTGAAATGCCCAACAATCAAGATGTTATAACTCCATACATCAGGCACAATACCCCACACAGCAGATGTATCAAATAATTCTCTTGCCTCATCCACATTATTGTATAAACAATATCCACTCATCAAAGTGTTGAAGGTAACTACATCTGGTCTCTGACCTCTTTCAATCATCATATTACACATATCTTTAGCTTCTAAGAGCATTCCTTTTTTACACAATGCATCAATTAATATATTGTACGTATAAACATTTGGGTTGATATTTTTATCAACCATTTCAGAAAGCAACCGAGTAACTTCTCCCCACTGTCCCAAACTACAAAAACCACGAATCAAACAAGTGTAAGTAAAAATATCAGGAGCTATTCCCAATCCAACAATCTCAGAACATAAATCACGTGCCTCTGTAACAAGTCCATCTTTGCATAAGCCATCAATGATCATGTTGTAGATTACCACATTACACTTAACCACTTTCCCTTCCATCTTTTGCAGCAAAACAAAGGCATCTCTTGTATGCCCCATTTTACATACTCCATTGATCAAGGTCCCATAACTAATTTCATCCACAAACCCTTGTGCCGCCACACTGTCATGAAAGTCCATTGCTTTCCAAACCTCACCATTGATACAAAGCCCTTTAATGAGCGTGGTCAGGGTTATAGTATTGGGTTGAAAACCCTTCTTCAGAACCATGCCAAACACAGAAAAAGCAAAACCCATGTGACCCAAGTGGCAATAACAATTGATCAATATACTCAAAGTGACTAGGGAAGGAGTGATTCCTCTTAACCCCATTTGTTTAGAAAAAGAGATAGCAATTGGGTAATGCTTCATTTTCACAATTGACCCTAAAATCATGTTAAATTCTACAACAGATGGAAGAGGATGCATAGTAATGAAGCGAGTGAATAAGGCCACAGCATCATCAATGGCATCAAACCCAGATATTCGTTTTGCATGTTGTGGTGGGGAATGAGAAAAGAGTCTCATAAAGATGCTAAACTTGGGGATGGCATACCTAAACCTTAACCTTGTTGTCGTAGCTGTGTACGACATGGCAACCTTCTTCTTTCCAGTGCTGAAGAAGTTTGTCTATCTTCGATGCTTCCATTCAATGCTTCTGTTCAAATCGTGAAAAAAAGAATGGGTCCGTGTGAATTGTGCAAAAATCAGATGGTGTGAGGAAGGGGTTTAGGGTTCGCGAATCACAATTAGGTTTCGAATTTGGGGGATTTTGAATTTAAGAAAGTTAGGTTTAATTTAACTAATTAACTAAACCACATCATAAAACAAATCGAAAACACACAGATTGAAAGATCTTGACCTTTTTTAAAAGGTTTAACTATGTATTTAGAATATATTTTTTATAATAAAAATAATACTTTGCATTTTCATAATTTTCTATATATATATATATATAATGCATTTTTATACCATTAAATTATTTTTTATTTATATGACTTTGATTTCGAATGTTATAAGAAATTAATGACTTCTATTTATATTACTTAGAGAATTAATTCCATACCATTCCTTAAAATTAATTATAAACGACTAACAAATACTTTTGAATTCCTCAATATTTAATGGTTGCTTGAGTAAAAATTTCGGAAAACTCATTGGAAAATACATACATTTTTTATTTATTTTCAAATATAAATTACTATATTATTAAAAAAATAAACTCACTTTCAATCCTATTGTGAAATTTTATCTCAATTATTTTCATTGCTAAATATCAAAATTTGCAAGTAATATTATGGAGTGGAAGAGTTGAAAGCTTTATTTGGTCAAAGAGAAAAAAGTGAAAAGGAATCTTACAAATAATCCAAATATATTCATATGATATCCTCTAACAACTACTATCAGTAGCTGATTTTCTAACAAAAAAATGACCTTTCAGATAATATATATCTTTGATCCCTCTTACATCAAAATTATAAACATTCATGTGTTGTGCAAAAAATATATCATCTCACTTTCAATTTATCAGTGTTTTTGAGGAGGGAGTAACTTTCTGGGAATACTTCACTTGAATAGCTGAAGTTGCTTGAAAGTGATTCTTGAAAATTGAGATTTGAAGAAAAGTTTGGGAAGATAGAGATGTATCCAGATGCCAAATGATGGAGTCAATTTCAACTATAATAGCTATGACTTTGCTATCTCCGCTTATTTTTCTGTCTTAGCCTCTTAAAAGCCATAAATGTAACTGCTGCAGAAAGGGAATACCTGATCCAAATACAAATGAAAACTTATCAGAAAGATGCTTGCAACCTCATCATTAGAGACTTAGGGTGCATTTGAAATAGTTCACAGATAGCTTAGGAAAATAACCTATAATTTTCATAATTTTTTTAACTTATTTTAATTTTTTTTCAGATAATTTATTAAAATAAACTCTTTTTCATATAATTTATTACAATAATTCATATAATTTCCATTGCCATCACATTGAAAACCCTTTTTCCTAATGCTAAGCTTAATTTTCACAAAGTAAATTCTGAGTTACAAGCAGGTGGATACAAAGACAAAATCCCTTCAGAAAGAGACTAAATTAGTATAATAGAAATATGCAATGGACACTTACATTTAGGCCATATTTAGGTAAACTTCTACAGAAATCTTTATAGGAAAAAAAAAAGAATATAAAATAAATAAATTTCTCCCATAAATTAGAAACAACTTATCTTTTCAAATTTTAGAGTAGTTAAATAAGAAAACTTTTTAAAAATAATATAAACATAAGTTGTTTAGAATTTATGGGAGAAGTTTTATTTATTTTTTATATTAATTTTTTTCTCTCCTGTAAAAACTTCTCTAGAAGTTTACCCAAACTAGGCGTTGCCAGACAACTACAGGAGAGGTGACATGGGCCAACTTTTATTCTTCCTATTCTGAATCTCTTAAATGGTGACAGAACACATGTATGTTTTCACCACATAAGCATTGACAAATCCTAATTAAAATCACTTAGAATCAAGTAATCAACAAAGGATGGTTGAAGTATTAATTTTTCAAAGTATTTCAACTACATACAATTCCTGATTTTGACTATTACTTTTTAGCATTTGGCAGAGTTCTTCGAAATAAACTATTCCTCTATTATTATTATCATTTAGTGGTAAACTAACTCATATTGCAAAACCTACGAGCTTTGGCCAATCAAATATAAAAATTGGTGGCAAGAGTAATACAACAGCAATATAATTGAATACATAAAAAATAATTTTTAATTTGTCAAAAAATGCATCAATATTTAATGAGAGAAAAGTAAGTTGCATACCATGTCAATGTGTAGTTTAGGTGGTCCCTAGGCATGACTGAACTTCGAATCAAGGTATTGACATCTTTGGGAACAGGGTAAGGGTTACTTGGATTGACATTTTCATTAATATCTTCAATATAGATAGTATTTTCTGGAAGGCCACAAGCACGGGCAATGCCAGGAACATCAACATAGAACCACTGGGAAGACTCAGGATCATTTGCAGGAACAAATATGCTTGGCTTCTCACTTCCACGAACTACCCCAACAACTTCTATAGGTGTAGCAGACGGGACCTGATCCTGTAAGTTACCAAAAATAAGTTTAAATCTACAAATCTTCTGTATTAAACAAGGAATCAAAAGGAGAGGTGACCTCAATAGTAACAGGATTTTTAGACCAAAGTCTCCACCAAGATCTAGTTCCGTCAGCCTGAGAAGGGGAAGGAAGTGCATCTGCTAAATTTTCATCTTTTGAAGCCTCTAAAAATTTGTCTTTCCAACTGCGTGGAACCCACCCTCTGTTGACTAAAATTGGAGAACCCACACTGGAAGAAACAATACACAATATAAAAATGTAAAACTCAGAACAAATGATACAATTGACCCATTAAACCAGTGGCAGTGGAGTATTCAAAACTAGCATATGATTGCCTACAATTAAGAAAAAACTATAGTTGATAATATGATATGGACATGTTAACCTAAGAAATATTAGGAGTTCAAGTTTATGAAGTTATGCAAAGAAATCCCATATATTCCAAGCCCTCAAAAGTTAAAACTCTAAAACTCAGCAATGTTTAGCCACACAGTAGACACATTGTACCTATGGATACATTATATCGATGAAAGGAGAATACCAATATTATGTATTTCCCCAAAAGTTCATTCAAGAATAAAATTCATATCAAAATAATAAAAATATATTATAAGAGAAAGTTGGTATATGGTAGTAAGTATAAATTATAATAAACATCCATTTTAGAATAAGAATTTAGCTTCTCTAAAATGAGTTGGGGAATATGTACTTTAGAGAATAAAGTGCAATTATATAGCTGTTAATATTGTGATAAAATAACAAACTATCAATTTATCAAAATTTTCAACTGATGATTTTCAAATCAATGGTCTATAACATACACTTTATCTTCTAAAGTGCATCCCCCTCACTTCAGGGACCCAAATTCTTAGAAAAAATAGAGCTATTGAATATTATGAGGAACAATTTCAATATCAACTAGCATTACTCTAACAGAAAATTCATCCCTGGATTCAAATGGTGTTAAAAACAGGAAGTAATGATTATGTTTTACCTGTCAGGACAATTGGGATCTGGCATAAGAGGTGTTATAATATAGTAGCCATTTTCAGTGACTCCTGAAATACTTCTTGAACGTGGTCCCACATAGATTGATTTTTTATCATCAAAAACTCCTTTGCACACCACCCTTCTAAATTCCAGAGAATCTAATTCCTCATTTGATGGATTAGCACTACGGAGTTTTAATGGTTCCATTTGCAACCTCTTCTCTCGATATTCCAACATTTTAATCTGTAACATTGAAAGATAGAAGGAATTTTCAACAAGATAATATGCACAGCTAATATCTAAACATTGAATCTCATGAGTTCATATGAAATTAACTCCATCCCCAAAACATTTTCCAAATATTTACAACAGAATACCCCATCATTCTATTAGCAAACTATATTTTGATTATTGTAATAAAATTCCTATAATATCATGTATTCAAGTCATCCACGTATCATGGAGATGGAAATGAATAAGGCAATAATCCACAATATAAGCCAATGATAAGAAATCTCCCTAATGGGTCAAGACAAAAAATAAGTGACAAACACAGATGAAATAATAGTATTCTCAAAACATGAAGATAAAAAGATAAAATATTATAACACCTTGATGCATCACTCTTATTGAAGCACCTAGATCACTAATATCAACCAAAATGATTCAAAATCTCACAATCTTGACAGTCATAAATAGTTGATATACATTTTCCGCCACAGTTGTTCAAAGAGAAAGTTCACAAATTCTTACACATGTCAAAAAATAAATAAATAAATTACAATAACACCACCAAGCCTCTAGGCTGGATTTCTTTACTTGATCTTCATCTCAAAGCACGTTCTTTCACTTTACCTTACTCACTTGCCAACACTTCATTAAAAAAAAATACATACAAGTTGAATTATTGGGGTGGTATTATTTTAACAAAATCTTCCCTTACATAATTCACATAATACCTATCAATCAACACCATTGCTTTCCTCTCCCTTCCTTCATCAAAATCAATGGTTCAAAATTATAGATCGTGTAAACAAAGAATTATGTGAAATTAAACATTTTCCTAATTATAACGAAATGAATGCCAAAAAGACACACACCTTTTCTTCTCTTCTAAAAATCTGCCAAGTCCCAAGGCCAAATGTGATTGCCCCAGGCACAAACAGCAACCATCTAGATGCTTTCCCTTTCATAAACCCCAAACAATAAAAATCAATAAGCATAAAAATAACAAAGTTCGAATTTTTATGAAAAGGGACTTCAACAATGGAATAAACAAGATCGACCCACTCGAAGAATCGATCCAGTCAGCATAAGTGAATGCATACCCTGCGATTCAGAAGAAGAGGGAAGTGTTGGGTCGGAATCAGACACAGAGGAACCGGTGGCAGCGGAGCTCAACGACCTAATGGCGACGAAATGGACGGAGCTACCGCCGCCGCATACGGCGGCGCCACGGCGGAGCCGAGCTAGCGTTCTGACGGCAGAATGCGATAGGGGCATTTGGGCTTGTGATGTGAGGGAAGCAAAGAGCGATGAAGAAGCGCAAAGGGTTTACGGGGGTAAAATCTGCTGCAAGTGGAAGCACCTTTAGCTACGGTGGACCTCCCGGATTGCATTCTATTTTATAAAAATAAAAATTAAAAATTAGAAAAATATTTTCACAAATAATGTATGATAAAAAGAGAAAAGATATATTCAATAAAAAAAAAGATAGATATAAAGGGGACTTTATTTACTGTAGTAATGCAGTTTTAAAAATTAATTACTAACTCAATGATAGTTTAAAATTAATCATGTATAATAAAAATGATATGTGTCACACATTTTTTTATTTCTTCGTTTTCACAATCATTTTAGTAATAAAAATTTATTATTAGAATGCATACCTCTCACATTCTAAGTTAACAACAAAAAATAATAATAATAATTTTGTACAAAACTTGAAGAGAGCATAGTGGTAAGAAATTGTTTCATTCATTTTATATAAAAGTACAGATTTGGATCCTCTCATTTTTTGGGATGAACATGACTCTCGTGTGTTGTTATTTTTGCATTTTCGCTTAAGTCAAAATTCGCTTAAACAAAAATAAAAAAATACAAAACATGAGAGTTATTTTACGGAAGAGGATCTTGATTTTAAAAGTACTCATCAATGTATGGTTAGTTTATTTTATTTAATATTTTAAAGAAATATAGATATAAGAATTTTTAGACTTATCAATGTAAAAAGATCTTTTTCATATATATATATATTAATTATAAACAATAATAGCTTCATTTTATATAGAGTACTCTCATTTATAATAATATAAAAGTTAATTAATTGAATTAAAAACAAATACTTATGTAGGTCAATCTAAGTGCTAATCTTATTTTTAAAAAAATTATATATGATTAATGAAGTTAATTTTTTATATAATTCTACTTTTGACAGATATACTCATGCTTTTAGTATTATAAATGTCTCATACTATTTTTTTTAAAAAAATATAAACTTTGATTTAATTTTTTTTAATTTAAATAAGTATAAATTTAATCAGTAATGCAAACAAAATTTATCAATTATCATATAGAGTAAAAAAAATTACAAAATTATTTTTAAGAGAAAAATATTAGTATTTTTAAAAAGTGCGATATTTGATCTAAACATGAAGTATAAATATTTTTAAAAAAAATATTGTGCATTATTTCCAAAAATACTTTAAATATATTTTTAACATTTCTAAGAACTTAAAAAATATTCACACGTACGGAACACCTATAAAATGTAACATTTTATCCTCACGAATATGTTTAGAACGTTTTAGGAATAAAGGGAAAACAAAAAATTTATTTCAAATAATTTTGTTTAAATTTGATATACTTCAATCTTTGTTTACTAGCTTGGTCTTAAGTAAAATGGGGAGAAACTATATAATGTTGTGAGTCATATTAATTACAATCAATGGTAAGCATAGCATTAATAATAACCATTAAACTTATGTACAGTACAAAGCAAAAGTTAACAAAGATTATATATACAGACTTATGAATGAATAATCGTCAACTAATCTATTTAATAAAAATAAAAATTGATCAATCACGTAATGGCACTAAACTATATATATATATATATATATATATATATATATATATGTATATCTGCTACTGCAAAACTAAATTATATAAAAATGCGTTGTATATATAGCTCTGAGAACATGTTCTTTACTCATTCGGTAATCATGACATGAAAATTCACATAACCAAGACTCAAGACAGAAATTCCATGAGTAAATAAACTCATACAATTGCTTAGTATGTAGAAAATACAAGAGCACTCAACAAAGCAACAAAGCCAGGAACACCAAAATAAACAATTCCATATGCTGTGATCATTTTTGTTGAACTTGTTGATTCTTCCTCCTTGGAACTTTCATCTGCACTGGCTACGTCTTCACCTACAAGCACCAAACATAGTACTAGTTATTACATGTTGATGTAATTAAACTTGTTTACATCAAAACAATGGAGCTTATTAATATGTGCCTTAAAATAGTTGCCAAACAATAAATATTTTTTTTATTAAAATCATGTTCAAAATGCATTAAAAATTATGACATGTATGGCATTAATTAAAGTTGATAAGTTAAACTTGTTCCGTCTGGTTGACTCGAACCTGCCCATAAAATGTAAGGCCGTGAGTTTTATATCTTGAGTCTACATTAAAATTTTGATTTATTTAGTTAATTTGTTTAGTCAAAGGCTTAAAAGTTCAAAAAGTAATTTTAGTTAGGCTTGTCATTATTTTTATTAGGTCAAATTGAATGAGTTTTTTAGTTTGACCCAAAACCCTAAATCCAAGCGAGCTGGATAGTCTATTTTGGAAATTATGTATTAATAATATTTATTTCAAAAAATTTAATTTTTTAAAAGTACTGATTAATATTTGCCTAAAAATTTACTCCAGAACAAACTTTCCCATTTTCTTCTTTCTTAGGGTTGCAGTAGCATGTTAGGCAACAATTAGTTCAAAGCTTCTTAACAGACTAATGTAGTCTAAATTTAGTTTAATTTATTGAATTAAATTCAAAATTTTCAATATTTTATATGTCCAAAAACTCTTCTCCTATGTGGCCATAGGAACATATAGATGGGTGATGATCTACCTTCTGAGGGTTGTGGGGATTGTGAGGTTGCTCCTGCAATGAAATAAACAAAACAAGTTTAAATTTAGAACCAAACCCTTTATGCAATGCAAATGCAAAATTTTAGAAAGGGTAAATATATAGAACTAGGTCATTAACAAACTAGACTTCACCTAGCTAATCCGTGTGCAATTTCCTAGACATGAAATTCATCAAAATTATTGAAGAAACTATATATGAAAAGTTCATCAATATGTTTGCTTAAAGAAACTTATTTTATTGGCCTTAAGGATTCTTCAATTTGATCAAGATTGTTGCATTTTCCTCTATCTTATGCATTAGGATATGAACGCAAATGCAATAATTATCAGTTGTTTATGATGGCAAATACAAGCATTACTCCATTGATAACATTGAAGATTGAAGAAAAATTGCAAAAGATTTATAAACAAAACAAAAAGTATCAGAATGAAAATTTGATAACCTGGACTCATTTCAACCCCAATTCCAACATATTAAAACAGTTCTCCTTGTGGTAAAATAAAAACGAAAGGAAACCAATTTTCATCACCCATCATGATTTACAACAATAATCAAAACGGAAAAAGAAAATGATAAATTACAACATCATTTATTTTGCCTTCTAACGCAACCAGTTACGTAATCATTTTATATTATCTTAAGGTGAGCAGTATTTGTGTGTGTGGGTATCATGACATGACAAAACAAGGCATACAAACTATAGCAAATTAATACAACACAGATTCTTTTGCAATGAAAATTAATTAAATTAATACTCATGAAATTACCATATCTATCACGTATTAATTATTTATTTCTAATAATACTTGCATTTATTGAAATCTCAGATAAATACTTAAATGATTCACAGATACAGTTGAGATCTTTTAATGAAAATGTTTTAGTCATAAAACCATTTTACCAATGCAATAATTTTCTTCAGAAATATACATCATTTAAAAGACAAATAATATGACACAGATTAACAGCTTAATAAAATTACGTCAAATCACATTTTACTTAAAAGTTATAACGTTGAAATGGATCAACATTTGAATGAATTTGATGCAAAATCAAGTATATATGTTAGGAGTAGTTTGCATCACAAAACATGAAGAATCAAGAAATAAAACCATTAATTACCTGTGGATCCTGTGCTGCAAAGAGAAGCATCAACCGTTATACCACATGCCTGAGGAAGTTTCAAGGCATCCTCCTTAGTAATCTTGAAAGACTGAAGAACCTGAGGGTTGTTAAGGAAACTACATAAACAATCTGTTTTATTGTCATACATTTCCTTCAAGGGATCACAACAAGTCTGAGGAGGGTTGTTTGGAGCACTCAAATATGCTTGACAAGGAAGCATTTTTTGCATGCATTGTGCATCTTGTAGAACTGAAATTTGTCCAAGACCAGGCAAAAGCTGGTCAAGATTGGTGGGAGGATTATCACACAAACCAATGTGAAGATATGAAGAGAACATGATTAGGAAGAATGAGAAAAGGGTCTTGGAAGCCATGATCTTCAACAAAAGAGAGAGAAAAATATAAAAAATAAAAATAAAAATGAAAGAACAATGACCAAAGGATGGAAGGTGATTTTTGTTGTTGGTTTTCCTCTATTCCATCCTCTGGTGCCTCATTGTGGTGGATGTACGTAGTTATATAAATTAGAGGGAACATTCTATTTTTAAAGGGTTGCTTTTAAGAGGAAATTAAACTTAGCCACTCATCTCTTCATAGCCATTTATTCTTGTCACCAGGTTGTTTTATTTCCCAATTACAACTTTTTTTTGTGTTTCTCCTCTCTTTTTGCCAGTCTGGGATACCTATATTTTGCAATATTTGACACTTAATTTCTGTACAATTAAAAAATTTAGTTGTAAAATTTTTAGGTGTATATTGTTATATATATATTGCACTTTTTTAGGAATACTTGCAAGACGATATCATTGATAATTTTTATTATTAGGTGAAATTTTTATGATACAATATTAAAAAATCATATGGGTCTTACACATTAATTAGTATAAGATTCATATGAATTTTGCTTTAATAATAAAGAGCGAACTATTAGTATTCTATCTTTTATAAAAAAAATAATATACTAAATAAAACGATACTTTTAAATTAAGCTTTGTTAGAGATATTGAGTTTTGTGATTTGAAAAAACAAAACAAAAAAAAGTAAATATAATATGTATTATATTTTATTTTTAAAAATAGAAAACAGTTTTTAAAACAGAAATCAAATATGCTCTAAAAATTTTTAAAACCAACTTTTTAAAAAACTCATTTTTTTAATAATTTTCTTCATTAAAAAGGGTTTTTTTAAATTTATAATGTTCAAGCTATAGGTCATCCCCGATCACACTTGACCTTAACAAGCATGTACATAAACATCTCAGGAGCAGAGAAAATATTTGCTACGGTTTGCAAAAGTTAAATGAGTTTCTGACTTACTTTTTTTACTTATGTCAGTGCTATGAATACATTTTTTAATATACGTTTTTAATATATTTTAAATTATTAATTAATTCTATTGTCAAAATAATGTTTAGTCATAATTTTTAATTAATTTTAACAAATAAATAGACATATACTAAAAAAACATATATCCCTAGCATTTTCAAAAGAATATCATGCAATCTCTATGGAATAATAAAACGAATGAAGAACAAGCTTCTGAGGGGAACAAATGCACGTGTCATTTGCTTTAAAATGGCCCACACCACCAAAATTTGAGTAAAGTTCCATATTTATCCCCTGTGGCATTTACTATTGGAATTATTATTTTATTACTTGTTAAAGACTCATGAAATTCTAATAAAAGTAGAATTTAATTGAAATATATTATAATATAAAGAATTTGTATACTCATTTATTCATGAATCGTATTAATTTTTATAATAATTATTTTTAAAATTATATTTAAAATATCTGTAATAATTGATGGTACAAAAGTATTTATATTAATAATTTATCAAATAAAAAAAATAACTCCTTTAAATTAAAAATATATAAAATAAGAAAGTAAGGACATATATATTGTTTATTGAAATTCAAAAAAAATAAATATAATTAATTTTAAATAAAAATAATTTGATACTTTTTTATTTTATATGCTTTTTTCACTTTAAAGGAGTCAAATTTCAAAATTAAACTCATAAAATAACTTAAAAAGAGGCAATCAATATTTACACGCGTTTTGTCTAAAAAAGCTAAAAGCATGCTTTAATTTAAAGTAATGATAGTTTATAAGAAAAATTACCGTAGAGCCACCAAGTGCCTGTTTGTATTGCTAAGCTAATGGAATTAATGCACTTTTGTACAAAGCAAAAAGAAAAAAAAATTCACATAACACGTGGTGCACTCTTTGAATAAATTTAATATATTTTCATACTATGTATACACTTTCAGAAATCTATACTTGTTGAATTAACTATTTAAGATAAAATCAATTAATGTTAAGAGTTTTTTAAAATTATGAGGAAATTGAAAACAGATCATCCTTGTGGATTGTAACAAGAAAACTTTTGGGCAACGCTTCTTTGATGCATTACATCCATAATCATTGGAGGTTTTGGAGGTTCATCCTCATTCTAATATATTTAGAAATATATTAAAAAGCTTATAAACATAAATTCAACATAAAAATTATAACTAATAATGTTAAAATAAACATGAATTCGCAATCATTCAAACATGATACAAAATAGTTTGAGTGAGTATCAAAACAAAAATACATTGTATGATCCAGTGAGGTACTTTTAGACCATTGTCATTTTATTTAAGTGGTGTTTAGATTGATAAAAAATAATGAAATAAATAAAATAAGACTAAGATTCATGATTAAGATCATACAAAATAGAATAAAAGAATGCATTTCATTTTAATACCTCTTTTTCTTTTTCTCCAATTTTAGAATATAAGACCATATTTTGTTACTGAAGTATCCAAACAATAGAACAATAACGTTATTCCATTTCATTATATTTCATCCCATTTCACTCCATACAACTCATTACTGCATATCCAAACATAAGGAAAGAAAATATTAGTCATGTTACAGCTGAAAAGATATTAACCATTGATAAATCCAACGGCCATACAAATAATATAAAGATTATTCACTGTAACAATATTCATAAAAGAAATAATTATACAGCTCAAAAATCATATATGATGACTTGCAAGATCTTCATAGTGACGTAAATTACTATAAAAGTAATGATAATGAAAAGCTTGGAAAAGAAAAGAAAATATTTAGGACAAAAATGCCTACTTAATTTCTCTACCAATGACAGAAAGAATTGATCTTACAATTACAGAAGTATATAAGTCTAAACTTCCATTGATGATCTTCATAAGGGCTAGTTGGTAGCTGGTAGAGGACAGGAACCAGAGAAGTTCAAAGAGAAACTAACACTGTCTGATCCAAGAGAGTTGCATTCGGGTGATTTCTTGCTCATATGGAAGTATGGTGATGTGCTCGTCATCCTGAGTAAGTATAAAATACATGTTTCAGCCTCAGAAACTCCCATTGCAAGCGAATTTAATAACATAATGCTAGTTGTGTTAGCCTAGCACAAAAAGAAACATTTAATTTCACTAACACATGCGTGTGTGTGATTTTTTCCGCTGCAGAAATTTAAATCAGCACTAAAAATATTGGCTAAACAACTTCAATGGAGATCATGGAAATGAGCATTCAATGAAAGAAAGAAGTTTATAAATATTTCAGCACTTTAAGAGAACTGGTTTATGTATCAATAAATAGATAATTTTTATTATTAGAAATTGTCGAGGCGTACATAGGGTTTAAAACACCAAGGAGATCTCTTTCAGTGGACCATAAGCAAACCATACAAAAAGACTTAGATTGTGCATCCAACCCAAAACCTTAAGGCATTAGATTAAAGGTCTTTGTCACTTATATATTGCTCAACAAAAATTACAGTGGAAGTGTATTAATAAGATTTTTTAATAAAAACTTTCTACTTTTAGTTTTGTATTTAGTGCTGTAGTTAATATTTGCCTATAATCAAAACAATACATGATAGAGAAAAATTAAAATTGCTCAGCTGCATTGATTACCTTCCCTTTCTCTTCTCCAAAAACCGAGTCAAGGATGCTTTACGTGCCTGAGGCAAGCATACTGTAAACAAAACAAAACTTTTCTGTTCATAACAGTGCCGTGCATAAACTAGTAGAATATACTAGCTGTAAAAAGATGAATGCTAGCAAATAGCAACACACCTTGAACACTTTCTTTTCAACACTTCTTTATTATTATTAGGTGAAATCCATGCTAGCTCCACTAAACATCATGGATCCACTCTCTATTAGTGAGGCCAACATAGATTTAGGGTGTGTTTGGATACAGAACTCGTTTAAACACGATTCAATGAACTTTTTTTAAATGATTGTTTATGTCATGAATTTTACAATGAAACCTATTCGAATAAGTTGAAACCAATTTATTTTGATAAGTTATACCAAGAACTTATTGAAAATAATTAAAATAACTTATAACAGTCATAAGATGTTTTCCATAAGTTCTTCCAAACAGACTCTTAACTCAAAATAGAAAGAGATTGATAGAGTGTACTGCTAACATTTCTTTTAAAAATATAGGTACCAAGCATAAATATACCTCGTTGAACCATTTTTGTAGCAGCAGAAGCAACAACAATAGGAGATTCCAAATAGTTAGGAGGGGCAGATGAAGGTCCTATTGGTCTTATTTTTGCAAGTTCATTGTTGCTAGAAGATCCTCCTATAGATTGAGAATTGGCTAGAGAAGTTAGTGGGAGAGGGCTTGGCAAGGGTGAGGAGGGATAGGATTGACTTATAATGAAACCATCATCTTTGGAGGGAATTGAGATTGTTGGCTGAAATTTAGCTGTGGAAACTGCCATGTTCTGAATTGGAGTAGACCTATTTCCTGCCATTAACATGATAGCCTTGGCCTAATGGTCATAGGAAGTGAAAATCAAGAAAACTAGAAATACAAATATTTTTAAAAAATTTTAACAGAATTAAGCTAATTTAGAAATATATATATATATACACCTTCTCAGGAGTTATGTCATCAAAAACGCATACTGAACCAGCATAGAAAATGGTAAGCTGAGTAGGTGTGCCAGTGGATTTGGAACAATTCCTGTAGAAAAACAACAATTTCAGGTGTGCCATTCTACATTGCTCAAAAGCATGTTCAGTGAAATAAGAAATTACAATTTTTATGATATTTTAAATTTATGATTTTTCTAATGTGTGTTACATATGTTAAGAAATTAAAATAAAAATATTTACTATCTTAAAATTATATAAAACATTTAATACATACTTTTTATGATAATTTAAAGCTTTTGACAGTGTATATCTAATACTCCTTGACACACATTATAAAAATCGTTATATTTATAATACCTTAAGTCAGTAGATCCAACAATGGAACCTATTGGTGGAAGAACAGATACAGGTGTGCCAGAGGATTTGGAACCAGGAGCTTGTGGTTTTATGACTGAATTGACCATGTTTAGTCCTGTAGTAGCAAGATTTGATTGGTTGGAAACTGAAAATATTGTTGCTTCCTGAAGGGATGCTGATTGTGCATCTGAACATTGCTGAGGATAAATTGACATTCCATGCTTGTTTCCTGCCTGCTTTCCTATGGACAAATTATTCTACAAAACATCGAAGTAATAAGAAGAATTAGCTACAAGAAAAAATTTTACAAAAAAAAAAACAAAACAAAACACTAGAGTTCATACTTGTGAAAAATACCTTTCACAATTATAATAAAAAGAATAAAGCATTCAAATGTTCTACTTCAAGGAGAAATGTTTTTGCTATATGAGAGTATGACAGTAGGCCCTTTATAGAATTTCAAAATTTAAAGCATCTCTTCATTAGAAGAAACAAACCTGGGTCACACCTAAGAATGGTTTTTGGTTAGAGTCAAAAGCATCTTTAGGTGGCATGTTCATATATCCAGATGAGGCTAGTGGATCAAGAAGAGTCTTTCTCACTCTATCTTCCTGATTGTTCTTGAAGGACAGGAATTGAGGAAGAACCGAGACCTTGTTTGAGAATGACCACTGCATTCCTGAACTCCTCACTGCACCAATTAATAGGACAAAATGGTGTGGAACATTAGATCAAGCTCATGAGTAATGAAAAGAAAATCCATCTATGAATAAAGATGATAGTACATTGCTTCGATAGTTAGATACCTCAAACATAAAGAAATTTATCACTTTGGCTGATTTATATATATAAATAACCAAATAAAAAATCTACTAATTGCTTTCCAAACTATGAAACAGGAGAATAATTATGGTCTTGAAGGTAATCTAAACTATGATGAAAAGGGTTTGTCTAAGTTATCCTGTAGGATAAATAATCCTATCATAAGTAAACCAATGATGTTAAGACATTATTATAATTTTAATATAATAAATATATTTTTGTATAGTTTTTTATTTATAAGTAGCTAAATTCAGCCTTAAAAATTAAGGTTAACAAAATTCAAAATAAACAAGTTAGGAAATAATAATAATAATAATTTATTAGAAGCTTCGGAAGCACATTACATAACAAGAAAGCTTATAGTCCTTGTATTAATTCTTCACATATTATAACTATATCACATGCGACTATGTGATGGTACGACCATGTTATTTATTGTAAATGTCGGCAGCAACAGGACAAGCACAGGTTAGAAGTACAAATTTAAGAACCATAGAAGAAAAATTATATATTAACCCCATATGAATTTAGCATTATATAATCATAGTCCACCATTTAATAAAAAGTAGTACTTTATTAAAATGCTATTATTCTATATGTTACAATATTTTATGCTGTCTCTCTTTGTTTATTTTTTTAGGATTTTCCTTCTGTAAGTATATTTTATGTAAACCTTAATGCACCCAGCTGGTCAACAGCATCAAAGATGGCTAAGTTGTTTGCTTCCCAAGGCCTTTCAATATGTAGCATCACGCATGCCCATGTTAACCTCCTATATAATATTCAATGACCATTAATATATTAAAAAATTATACACCTTTATATCCTTTTTAAATATTATTCATACGTCAGAATCCATAATATTAATATTAAAAATGCATCTCATTGTCCCAATGATTTAAATATTGCACATCAATATGGAAGCGAGAAAAAGAAGTAGCACATTTTACAATAATATATAGATAAATTTCACCAAAGACAACCAAGGCCACGTTTCTACTATGTACTAAGCATTTAAATATATAATTGTTTCGTGTTGCTTTTATTCATGAAGAAATATTCACACTATAAATATTTACAACAATTTATATAAAAATAGAAATAGAAAAATATAAAATTAAATGAGCAACGTGATAAAAAAATTAAATGAGTATATAAGAATTATTTTAATTATTTATTATATCAATAATATTATACTGTAATGAGTAAATTTATTATTGATGAAGATTTTTTACATACATAATAACTCGAATTCAAGATTTTATTTGAGTAATATCGAACTATTTATCAGTAAAATTAACTTCTACTACTAATAATATTATTTTACATTCTTTATTTTTATAAAATGTAAAATTAGAGATAACAAAAAAACTTGCTTCTATCTATTGTAAAAGTGAATGTGATGTGAAATAACGAAAAGTTTCTATTTTTTTAAAAAATTTAAGCATTTTTTATTAGAACAATTTCTTATCTGTTGATTTAAGTATTTTATTATTTGAATCACTGGGAAGAAGGCCACTCTATCTCTATGCAAATTCCCTACATTACCATTTATCAACCATAAAATTTTGCTTTTGGTGAAATCAAACATCAACTTTAAAACACAAAAATCAGATGGACCCAGCTTCAATGTTTGGCCCACTCAATAGGATTTTTCTTGCGTAGTAGTTATGTATGATGGATACTTCACCTTATTAATGCATTATAGCAGCTAGGTTGCAACTTGCAGGTAAAATTCCTTCACTTTATCATAGCCTAAAACTTCAATGGATTCACTCTTGCAAAATGGGTAGTTGGGACTTAGAAACCTTAAAATTCTTGTTCTTATCCATTTAAGATTAAAGGGAAAAACCAAGAAAAAGCAAACCAACAAAGCCTGACAATGACTTCTGGTATTTTCTGCTGCATATGGGTATTACTAAAGCACTGTTCTTTCCTTTGTTCTTCCATATTTTATACTTCTTTTAGGGGAGGAAATAAACGTTCTTCCTTATTTTTTATTTCTGAGAAAATAAACAACACTTATTGTGGGAAAAGGAACTGAATAAGTGTGTGTACTTAAGTGAATATTTATAAATTTGAGTTTAAATGAATTAATACTTCTTATAAATGAGTTTAAAGTCATGTGATTTATCTTTTAATTTTAAAAAATAAATAATTTGTTTACCTTTTTTTTTAAAAAAATATTCAACAAGTATTTTTATGATAGTTTAAAGTATTTAATATGGTATACTTAATTTTTTTAGCATATTCCAATAAACATGTATTAGAAATAAAAATTAATATATTTATTAACTCAATATAAAAGATATAGTTTATTACATAAATTTAAACATATATTTCAAAGTAAATTTAATTATAGTATAATAATTGCCAAACATATTATTAACACTAATTTTAAATTATATTTACATATTTAAATTTGAGTTTAAGACCCGTATAACACATGCATTAAAAAGATGCCAATTAGGATCCAAAAATGAAACTGAAAAATACTACCATTACTAGTGTCACAGAAACAGAATCACACCACTCAAAAACTCTCAAATTTCAGTTTCTATCCTCCATAGAACATAACAATTCAAAGAAAAACAATAAAACTCCAAAGATTAAAAAAAAAAAAAAACATCTCTAGCTTAAGATAAAACAAAACATTCAAGTTAATTCACATAAACACTTGACCTGCAAAGCCTTTTATTGAACAAAATAATGATAACAAAATGATGACGATGGGAACTGGTACCTGGGTCTTTTGGTTTGTTGGCACCATCTTCTTTCATAGTAATCCATGCACCATTTTTGGAGCTTAAGCCAAAAAATTCCCTCTCCATGTGGTGAAAAAATCAAAGACCCACAAGAATTTGTATGTTGCTGGTTACGCAGAGAATAAAAAAACCCAAATGCGTGCAGTGAATTGTTGTTGAAGACGGAAAAGAGTGGAAAGGAGAAGAAAGTGAGAGAGAAGAAAGAGAGAGATATATAGAAGAAGGAGGAAAATTGAATGAACAAAAATAAAAGGAGGGTGTAACCGGTTCGAGAGTTGAATCTGAACCGTTCGATTAAGTTATTCGGTTCTACGTGATGCTATTGCTCCTAGGTAACCGGTCGAGCTGGTCTGAAAACTCGTCTTTCCCGCGTGTGCACCGAACTCGGTTCTGGCTAACCGGTTGCTTTTTATTTTTTATGGTAGAAAATAAGGATATTTTATTAAGTTACTTTATTGTAAATTTACTGCTGTAACTTTTTTATTTTTCATTTTATTTTGATTTTTTTAAATTGTGATTTACTTTTTTGTTATGTCGTTGCTTCTATTAAAATTTTAAATTTATCACAGTTGATAGAAAGCGACATTACTTTTTTTTACGATAAAAAATTATATATTTGACCAAAAGAATTAAAGTAGAATCAGGAACGGTGATAAAAAAAATTAAGAATTAATCCAAAAATTAAAGATAAACTTTAATCACCAGAACATTGCTTTGAGTTAATTTAATACGTATATATATACATACATTAAAAATACGAATAAAAAGTGAAAAAAATATAAAAATACAATGTTTAGTGTTATTAATATAATTTATCATATTTTTAATCAATATATTAAACATATTTGTTAATAAAAGAATTGTAATAAATTTATTTAAATTTTGTAAAGCATTTATAATTATAAAATATATATGATTTATTAATTTTAGAATCCGAAAACAAAAACTCATGCACTACTTTTGAAGAAAAATATATTGAAATTTTTAGTCAGTTTTAAAAACACCCATACTTTGAAAATATCTGACATTGAATATAATTCATATATTTAAAAAAATGAATTCATATCTTACTAAGTAAATGAATAAATCATTGACGGAGAAATATAATCAAAGCAAAGACGAACCATAAGTGTCAATATTTTAATTTATTTATTTTTAAACTGATTGATTATTACTATAATTTAACACCTAATATTTTTTTTCATAAACATTGTGTACATGCTCTAACATGTAATATTTTTAGATAGGTGAATGAATCTATGGAACACAGAAACCATTGATGATCGAATCTAGCTTTTTAGAACATTGCTTAAAAAATACATACAACAACCAATTATAGTTTTGCACAACGAAACCTATTTAATCTATTACAACAATATAAATTATAAAATGTGGGTATTAATAAACATTAACTGTTATAGAATATGCTAGATGTCCTGAAAGAGTGAATCGTGAAGTTTTATATATTGAATAAATAACTCAAAGCGTGTTCCATTAGACACGTATTATCTTTTGTTGTTCTTTAAGAATAATACATGGGAAAAGATAACCTAAGAACTTTACTTTATTTTTTCTGACTTAGGACTCACATGTTTGGCTATTGATTAATCATTTTTATTGAATAATAGTTTTGGTTTTATTTTAATGGGTAAACGTTTCACGAGACAAAGTTGATGGATTCTATTTGCCTGTGGGCTGAGGTAGCCTTAGTTGTCACATAATTAACATTAAAACTTTATATATATTCTATGTGGTTGGTCGAGGTTTTTTCAACGAATCATGCAAAGCTTGGTTTAATCTTATTTTGAGTTCTTCTTTCATTGGCTAATATAGGTTCACACCTTAATCATTACAATCATTTTAAGTCACTGTCTTTTCTCTTCTTCTTTTTTTGTCAATAAAGAAGAGACAAAAGCAACTTTTTAACCACGGGTTTTGAAAAAAAGAAAGAAAAAACTAAGTCAATCTGTTTTGTTTGGAATTATTCATAAACATAACCACGGGGTTTTTATAAAAACAAGAATTCTTAACACCCATCATGGGAAGAATATTTTTAAATATTTCTATTATGTATACCTATAAACTCTTTTAATCATTAAATATTTTTTTATATTTTTAAAACAATAACTACATGTGTCTTTTTTAGTTAATACTTATTTTATAAAGTAATAAAAATTTTAATATTTAGAAGGATATGTAAGATAATATAAAAAATTCTAATATTAAATATGTTTTAATGTATGTGTCAAACTCAAAGGTCATATAAAAACAAGTTAATAAATAATAAAATTGTATGAAAATTTGTAGCATTTAAAGTTATTATGTGAATTTCAGTATATTAGATAATGTGATTATTATTATTATTATTATTATTGTTATATAGTTTTTTATTGTATGTCTTTTGCTACACATTAAATATTAGATGGTCAAATTAGGTAATTTATATATTAAATAAATAAATAAATCATTTTTTGAATAACAAATGTGTGAATTATTGATATAAATTTTATAATAAATAATAATATAAAAACATTAAAATTAATACTTAGAATTAAGTTTGGTTAATAATAATAATATTAATTATAAAAATTAGTGATTGTTTTGCCTCACTGACTAATGAATTTGGATGTAAATATTATAGGATTGGATGGAAATAAAGAAAGAACAGTGTTAGAAATATTTTTTTTAGTATAATATTATTTATTAAATTTTACTAAAAATATATTCAAAAATAAAAAATGAAATTAGTATAATTTTTTAATATTTAATAAATTTTAATTAACGATAAAAATATATTTAAAATAGTGTGTTAATATTTATGCGTTATATTAAATGATATTTAAATTATTTAGTATTAAAAATATTTATTATTATTATTATTATTATTCCTATTTTTTAAGAATAATATTTGCTATCAATTATTAATAACTCTATCTTTTATAATTATTCTTATAAAAAAAATTATCAACTTACCATTATAATATTTTTAACACTTTTAACAAGAAAAATTTAATAAAAAACTATTGTATAACGATAATTGATAAAATAATAATTATTATTTTTTTAAATACGTATATGAATATATTAAATGGAGAGAATACTCTTGAATAAAAACACGACACGTGGATGAGAAAGTGAAACGTAAGAAAGCATGTGCGACTGGGGAATTGGGGAGTGGGGACAGTGAGAAGCAGAGAGCGCATGTGATTGGTGAGCCAATTTGACACGCAATACCTACGTCCCACCTCGCGTCTTGGTCCCCACGTGCCAATCATATTTTATTTATATAATATAATATAATATTTCCCTTATTATTACCTGTAAATTTAAATATTTTAATTAAAAAATATATTATATAATTAATTTAAAAATAATCATTCAATGTATAAAAATCACATGAGATAATAAAAAGAAAATATTAAATAAAATTTAATTCAAACAGAATAAAATAATTATGAACATCAAAACTCTCTTTTTAATTATTTAATACAACTACATTTAATTATATACTAAATCAAAATAACTTTTGAATTCACATGTTTAATAAAAAATAATTTTAAAAAATATTTGTATTTATTTATAATTTTGTGAGTTGTCACACTTTATAATGAGCCCACCCCTCATTATAATGTTGTCATTTGGCTTTGGCAGCACATCCACATGCCTACACGAGTGACGTTACTCTAATATGAAAATGATAAAGAAACAAAACACGTGCATTTCTCACGATGGATATCATATTGTTTTTATATAAACAATTACAATTTAACATTCTATATAACTTTTCTATTTTTATGATAAATATTGACCATAATCATCGAGACAAGTCATCAATTGAGTAATTAAAATAAAAAATATCTAATATTATTATTATTTATTTATTTTTCATGTATGCGTAATTAAAAAATATAATTTAAACATATAGACATTTTAAAGTATCTTTTATGTGATATATAAAATACCTCTCTTCTTATTTCATTTTCATATGATTAATTTGGATTTTTTTTGCCTTTGATATACGTTATTTTATAAAAATTTAGAAATATTTTTTATAACATATTTATCCTTATAAAAAGAAGATTGCATGTGTGAAACATTTTGAAAATATATCTTATGAGTTTTCTACAAAGACATATCTACACTGAGACTTGAATGTGTTTACCAGTAATATATAAAAATTAATTTTAAGTGTATAATTTTTGTAAATAATATAATATTGGCTAAAGATTCAAAAGAAAAGTTTAATGTCAAAATTCAGATTAAGAAAAAAAAATTTATAATATAAAAATTTTAGTCTGAATTAAAATAAAAATGACATAATATATGTATTATAATTTTAGCAAAATAATAATAATAAGACGAGAATCACATTGTATGTTCAAATTGAAAATGATATTATAAGTTGCTAAATTCAAGTATTTGGAATGAATTAAATAAAACGACAAAGGTGTTACTCTTAAAATATAAATTGATTGATTAAAGTAAAAAAAGAAAATTGTAATTATAAAATAACTATCAAATTGAAAAAAAAATTAATTGTACAATTAGTTACTATGATATAAAATGTTAATCTTAAATAAACAATACGATGAAAAGTGAAATTAAAAAATAAAAAATATTAAAATAAATAAATAGTCAAATAAAAAATATTAGAATGAAAAATGATTGTATAAATAAGAATATTTAAGTAATATTTATAGTAAAAAAATATAATTAAAAAATATTTTAATTTGATTTAATTTTGTATAAAAAAACTTTTAAAAGTAAGCGAAGAAAGTGTATGAAATACTTTTAATCTAATAATAAAAAAATAAAAGTATAAGAAAAGTTTAAAAAAATTATTAAAACTATATTGATTAGTAATATTTTATATTTTAAATTTTTGATTGAATTTAATGATACAGTGTAATTTTCATGTTAAAAAGTAAGACACAATTATTGCTGTTGTTTTATTCTTTATAAATATTCAATATTTTTAACTTTTAATAATTAATATATTATAATATTTTTTAAAATTTTAATTTATTAAAATTTTTCAACGGTTTCAATTCATATGATTTAGTTGAAAAAGTTTATGTAATAGAAATTGAGAGAGAACCTTTCCCACAACCATCAATTTATCATCTACCTTTTTTGAACAATATGACTAACAACTAAACTCTATTTACAGAAGCAAAAAACTCCACAACTTTCAACATTCCTTGCAATTTAGCTCATATATCCACCATCGAATGACCATATTTGTAACTTCTTCAAACTTTCAAAATTCTTCCAAGTGTATAAATGGTACAAAAGTGAAATAATAAAATAATTTTTTTTATAAATTTAAATATATTTATATTTTCAAATGTTCTTATTTAATATTTTAAAAATGTAAAGTATAAATTACTTTTAACTTATAAAAATAGTTATTATACTGGATAAGACACCACTCGATCTTGCTTATAAAAAAAGAAAATCGAGTACCCTTTCAGCTTAAATAGCTGAGCACCCTCTTAGTCAGTAATTAACCCAATTAAGAGGTGATAATTAGACCATTATCTATTGTAATTAAAGGGCCAAAGTCAGGGTTGACTCATAAAGTCCATTAACGCGTAATAACGCCTATAAAAAGGAAGGTAAGAGGTACATGTAAATTGTTGACTTCTAATTATTAAATAACATTTATTGCCTAAACCGATACTTAACTTTATCATTGAAGTACTTTTTCAGGTATATCCCTTCATATCAGATCGTGTCAACAGTGTTAGGAAGGACGTCATCCCAATCCAAAAAAAACGAGAAAATCAGTGATTTTTTAGTAGGAATAGTTATCATATGTGGTAACAGTATATATAATAATAATAATCTCATTGCTTGCTCTACTTGTTTCACTGCATGGAATATTTGTTCTTAGGCTCTCTTTTCCTTGTGCACCATTATTTTATTGTTATATTTATTCTCAGGAATGTTTAAATGGGAAAAAAATGTATTCCCATATTTATTTTAAATTTTGAAAAAAATATCACCCAAAAAATTTATTCTTAATCATACATTTTTTAGAATATTATTTAAATTAGTATATTATAAATTTATTGTATTATTTTTTTATTTTATTTTAATGTGTGCTAAAGATACACAATAAAATATTAATAAATAATAAATTATTATAAAATATAATATTCAATGTCATCAATACATTATATAATATAATATTTAATAAAAAAATAAGTTATTTTTAGGCCTTTTTAGACTTGGGTTAGAAAAATAATTTAAAATTGTGTATATAAATGTTAATTTAAAATATTTTATTACTCGTGTAAAAATAAAAAATAATTTAATATTTTCTTTGATAATAGCAACCATTATAAGTAAAATGAAATAAAATTTTATAATTCCTTAATCATAAAAATTTACTCAATAATTTTGTTAGTTAAAATAAGATAAAAGAAATAATAATTTACATTACATTAATTTCTTCTAATAAATTTGCCTACCTTCACAAAAATTCTAAAAAACACATATTTAATTGTGGGCATAATAGACTTAGGAATACTATTTTTAAAAAATATCATTCAAATATTTAATTATAAAAAATGAAAACTTGTTCCCTGAAGCAAATACCCATTAAGTGTTAAGTATATCACAATTCACAACTAATCGCACGTGTGCTACCATGTGCTTGTTTATTTTTTTTTTGGGTCTTCAACATGTGGTTTAATTTAAGGGCTTTCATTTTTTTCTGATTTAGTTTATTTCAAATATTTTTTATTTGTAGTCCATTTGTAAACTTGCGAGCCCAATTAATGGTGGCCCAGTTCGTATGCTGTGAAACCGAACCCACTGGGCTTACAGAATGTTTTTCAAATAAAATTATGTCCACCCATAGATCACCCCCCCCCCAAAAAAAAACTTTTTATTCACATTTCTTTTAATGTGAATTACTTTATTTGTGATTTCCAAATTCTATATATATTGGAGGAATAATTCTTAAACGTTTAGATGATGTACAAACATGGTATCCTTGTATTGAAAGTAAAGTCTAATAACCTAAAATACTTTGTAACTATTTTATTTAGAATTGTTTTTAACAAATGAAGGTCACTTTTTAATTTTTGAATCATTTCGAAACATGTTATTTTAGATAATTAAGCAAATATTGATTTTTTAAAAAAATTTATTATTAGTGGTTTACTGGAATGCATAATTAACAACTACACTCCAAAATTTTAAATTAAATTATTTTCTTAAAATTTACATGAAAAGGGGTTTCAAAATTTCATATTGTATTTAAATAAAAGCTAATCAAATTCAATAAACACTGTTTTTAAAATTTTAAAATATAAACAAAAAATAGATGCTCAGCACAAAACAAGTTACACAATTTCATGAAAATGTGAATAATTTCTAAAACTGTTTTATTCAGGAGAAAACTTAGATATGTCATACAAGTTAGATCATTTATAAAGAAAAACAACCATTTAAGTGAGAGAACACAATAAGAATTCAAAAAGGCTCTGCCACCAATTTGGTGTAATTTTGGGAAAGTTTTTACTTGAAAAATTGTACTGTGTAAAGTTTTTAGCTGTTTCTTGCATGTGGTAGACCATCTCTTCTTCCTACTCAATTAGACAAACAGAATCAAAGTTACCTTCAATTCTTGTGTTCAATGAATTGCTATAAGATAATCCTTTTATTTTTTTGTCAAAGTTGTCATCTCACTTAGGTGCTATGTAAAAACTCAAAATATTATTATTTTATAAATTATTATTTTCATATCCAAATTTTGCTTCAGTATTCACAGAAACCACTCGAGGCTGATGCAAATTTACACAGTTAACTAACTCATTAAATCAAATACTATATGCACAATGTTAATATTGTGTGTAATAATATGCATACTCACCATTATTATCATGTGAACTTTGATGATTTGTTCATATGATATAGTTGTACTGTTATTAGTAAGCTAAAAACAAAGGTGTAGGGACAAATTGGAAAATGAGTACACAAAAGAAAGAGGAAAATACTTTTTTAGTTAATGGCTATGCATGTGACACACGTTCAACGATTCTAAATTTTCTAACATTAATTCAACTGATGTAATAGTAACATTGTGATCTCATGTAGACTAATCATACACGTTACATGAGAAGAAAAATGATATAATACCCATAAAAAATTTGGTTTTGTTATAATTGAGAGTTAATTTATTGGATCATTGTGTAAGTTACCAGTGTAACAAAAGCTATCACATAACCTAATCTGAGTTAAATAAAACACATTAACAGTAAGAGTTGTACCACTTCTTTCGATTAATTATAAATTTAAACTCACTTAACAAAAATCATTCCAAACTAGCAAATTTATTTCTTTGGTAAAAGGGCTATTTGATTGCATTATTTTGACAATAGGAATCTAAATTATTTTGGTCAAAAGCCAAAAACAACAAATAATAAAAAAATGGCATATTAAAAAAGAAAACTTTGGTCTTGGTCATAGAAAATCTGCAACTGGGGTCGAGGAAAGTCATAATTTATATAATGTGCTAATTTTCAGGTTTAGTGTAAGAAGTGACACATTTTTTCCTTTCGTCGCGAAAACAGTAGTAGTGGAGTCTTTGAACAACAACGCCACCAACCCCAACCCTTTTTACTTTCTCTCTCTACAATCCAAACAAAACCCTCTTTCTCTCTCTAAAAGTTCAGCGTCGAATCAATGTCTGAGCTATCAGCAGCATGGTGCTAGGGTTCATAACTTGGGAAAATGGTGTTCAAAGGAAGGTTCTTCTCTTCCAAGAAATCGGATTCATCTAGCCCCGATGCTTCCTCCAATAGTCCTCGATCCTTCTCTTCCAATTCGCCTTCCAGATCCGATAAGAAAAAACCTAAATCTGCCGCTAATCAAACCCTAACAGCCAGTTCATCAGCCGGCGGAGGAATCGCCGCCGCCGTCGCGTGTCGCCAGACGCAGGTTAAGGATGGGACTAAGAAGAAGGACGTCGTGGTCAAAGGCAAAGAGAGTCAAACTCCTCCGACTGAGTCTCGCTCTGCCGGTTCGAAGAAATTGACGGCGGCGGCGGCGGCGGCGGAGGGGAAGGAATCTCCGTCGTCGTCTTCGGTTTCGCCGATTCTAGCGTCGTCGCTTGGGCTGAACAGGATAAAGACGAGATCGGGGCCGTTGCCGCAGGAGAGCTTCTTCGGGTTCAGGGGCGAGAAGGGGACGGCGGCGGCCGCGGCGGCGCTGGGAGCAAGTAACCTCTCCAGGCATGGTGGTCGTGGCAGTGATGGGAGTGGCGGGAAGAAGAAGGAGTCGATGAACCAGAACAGAGTAGGGTTTCACGAGGGTTCCGGCGCCACCGGAGCTTGGGTTGATAATGGGAGCAATTCTGATAGCATGTCGACGGGGAGTGTGCCGTCGAGGGAACAGAGCCCGATTGTGCTACCCCGGTCGCGGTTACAGAACGGCGAGTCGTCCTCTGAAGCAGGTATCGGTGCAACTCTGTCAATTTTGTTTCTGAGTTTTCCACTCTGGTGATGATACTGATTGCGTGGTTTCAGTTGGTTTTTGAATCAGTTAGGTGCGTGATCGTAGTTTGGATAATACGTAATTCGATTGTTGATTGAGGCCCCATAAATGCCATTGCTGTACTTAGATTGTAGAAGAATGACTTGTCAATTTGCTTTTATGAGAGTTATAAGGAATGGGGATGGGGTGCTGGTGAGTGGATTTGGGAGAATACTGGATTGAGAAATGTAATCTGTTTGACTTAAGGAGCATATGACCTGGTTACTGATTCAGTGATTTGATCATCAATGTGGTTGGAAAAGCTGGTCAGCACAAAAGTAAAAAAGAAAATATAAAAATCAGCTGATTTTTCTGGTTTCTTAAAATTAACTAGGCCTACCAGTTTCTACCTGATTCAAACTGGCTGGTTTTACTGGCTTTTACCTGGTTCCCGCAGCATTGATCATGTTTGACTGAAAAGCAGTTAGAACTTAGTACTAGGCATCGCACCCTTGAGGGAAAGAGACACATCAAATGCAGGGAGGCGAGAATTTGCCCTAAATTTGTTAGCTGTTTACTTTAAATATTATTTAGGACTATTCAAGTAGATGAAGTTCACAGTTGAACACCCTAGTCAAGTGGCGAGTCCAGTTTCTAATAAACATAAATAAAGTAACAAAATAATGGAAATAAAATGCACAACTAAAGCTATAGCCTGTACAAATGCACAACTAAAATCTTGACTTGCAGATCCTGATTAAATTACTGGTATATCCTTATAATGAAATGTTACAATTAACCCGGCATCAATATTACACCAAACAGTAGAGGTCTGTGGATCTTTAAAATTATGATTTTATATAAATCTACTGCTGCTGCATCATATTGATTGGCAGCTTTACACAGTGAAAGTGGTTGATTGTAGTTGTCAGAGCTAATCTGACAGTTTTCGCTTTTCTTTATCTCTGTCTTGTAGCTCATCTTGTTGGTTTCTGTAGTTAATAAAATGGTTGTATTGGCAAAGCAATGTACTGTATATGTAATACACTTCAAGTGTGAAAGTAAGTTTTGGAAATAGTCTCACATCGGTGGGATAAGCATGAGTTTAAGGGAGTACAAGTAAGAGGTGGACAATTGCAAATAGCCACACAATTATGGACAACAACCCATTCTCAAGCTTAAACTCAAGATCAACTAAGCTCACTCCCTCACACATCAAACTTGGACAGGGTCCTACCATCCTACTCACAAATTCTAATAGGGTTTGGGTTGATGTCATTATTTGTTTAGTTTTCTCGAATGCTGATAAACAAGTTTGTACTATTCTATGCTTGTTTATGCTGAGATATCTGGCAAAACTGTGTTGCTTATTTTTTGCTCATGACATCACTTTATACAGGCAAACCAGCACCATCATGGGCTCAGTCTGGAGGCTTAAGAAGTACAGATGTTTGTACTCCAGAGGTATCACTGGGTTTGGGGTGTGTGTGTGCGCGTGCACATGCGCATGTCGGTGTGTGGTATCTTTTTATCGTTAGCTTTATTTACTTAAATTTTGTTACCTTCATTTACATAAATTTTGTTTGAATTAGTGTTCTGTTTATTCATTTATTAGTGCAGAAAAAAAAAGCTTAATTGTTTCCTTTTCAGACAGCATATGATTTTGAAAACCCAAAGGAATCAGAATCTCCTCGTTTTCAAGCTATATTACGTGTCACAAGTGCTCCTAGGAAGAGGTTTCCGTCAGATATCAAAAGTTTTTCCCATGAGTTGAATTCGAAAGGTGTCTGGCCTTTTCCATTTTTGAAGCCTCGACGGTTAAATAACCTTGAGGTACTTTGGTTTCCATTTCACATTATATTGTTTTGTTCATGATTTGTGTCATAGGAGGTATTACATTGAAATTGCTTTACTTTGTTGTGCAGGGGATTTTAGTTGTTATCAGGGCAAAATTTGATAAAGCAAAGGAAGATGTGAACTCTGATTTGGCTATTTTTGCGGCAGACCTGGTTGGAATTCTTGAAAAAAATGCAGATACTCATCCTGAATGGCAAGAGACAATTGAGGACTTGTTAGTTTTGGCTAGGAGCTGTGCAATGACTTCACCTGGGGAGTTTTGGCTTCAGTGTGAAAGCATAGTTCAGGAGTTGGATGATAGGCGTCAAGAGCATCCTCCAGGGATGCTAAAACAGCTTCACACTCGAATGCTTTTCATTCTAACAAGGTGTACTAGATTATTGCAATTCCACAAGGAAAGTGGTTTGGCGGAGGATGAGCCTGTTTTCAATCTTCGTCAATCCAGAGTCTTGCATTCTGCTGAAAAATGTATTCCTCCTGGTGTGGGAAGGGATACTAAAAGTTCTAGTGCTGCAAAGACCATGAAGGCTTCAAATAAAAAAGCTTATAGTCAAGAGCAGGGTATGTTGGGTTGGAAGAAAGATGTTATGCAACCACAGAATCTAACACTTCCTGTCGATGATGACAGTTCAAAACACTTTGACTCTTCTTCAGGCAGAGATCGAATGGCTTCGTGGAAGAAATTCCCATCTCCGTCAGGAAGAAGCCCCAAAGAACCTGCTGGAAGGGTTGAATCTTCAAAGGCATCAAATAATAAGAGATTCACTTCTGATGTGGATCTCTCTAATGCCAAACCACCTGAGCATCTTCCTGTCAAAGATTCCCTTGATCATGCTTCCAAACACCAACACAAAGTTTCCTGGGGATATTGGGGAGATCAGCCAAACAATAGTGAGGAGAGTTCAATAATTTGTCGTATATGTGAAGAGGAAGTTCCTACTTCACATGTTGAAGATCATTCAAGGATTTGTGCAGTTGCCGATAGATGTGATCAAAAGGGACTGAGTGTCAATGAGCGTCTTGTCAGAATTGCTGAAACACTTGAAAAGATGATGGAATCATGTACGCAGAAGGATACCCAACAAATGGTGGGAAGTCCTGATGTTGCAAAAGTGTCAAACTCAAGCATGACTGAAGAATCTGATGTTCCTTCCCCTAAACTTAGTGATTGGTCTCGCAGAGGCTCAGAGGACATGCTAGACTGTTTCCCTGAAACTGATAATTCTGTGTTTATGGATGACCTAAAGGGATTACCACTTATATCATGTAAAACTCGTTTTGGTCCAAAGTCTGACCAAGGTATGACAACATCATCGGCAGGGAGCATGACTCCTAGGTCTCCTTTGATGACACCCAGGACAAGTCAGATTGACTTGCTCTTGGCCGGGAAGGTTGCTTATTCTGAACACGATGATCTGCCACAGGCATGCCACTTTCTAAAATGCTTTTATTTTTAATTTATTGTTTTATACTAATTATGTCATGGCTTGCATGGTCCATTCAATTCACCATGTTGTGTCAAATGGTCTTCCCCGCATATTCAATGTGATGTTTAGTGATACACAATCCAGGAAGGAGTCAGAACTGTCCCTAAAACACATTTTCAACATCTATGATCTATTAAAATAAGCGCAGCATGTTAGATATATAATTGTATGATGTACTTTTTGCCTTTTGACATTAGACTTGTTTTTCATATCTTTTGGCTGATTAGAGATCATCTGATACTTTGACATTTGATTGAAAATGGTATGGTGAATTGGTGATTTTCTGCCAGCATATCAGGTCTTCTTGTAGCCACTGACCGACTTGTTTAGCACGCTGTGTAAGAAATTATAAAATAGGGGAAATCTTAGGATGGATTTATTGATCTAGGCATTGTTTTGTATTGAAAATAAGCATTTTGAACTACTAGCGAATATTTGAGTTATAAGAATCGTTTGTTTTTTAAATGATTGTTGTAGAATATTATTGAAATAGTACAATGTTAATTTAATCCTAACAACTTTGATTTGTGTTGTGATTCTTCATTATTGAATTATTCATTGTTTTAAGCAACTTGACATTAGTGCTCTGCTGAATAAACAGTAATGAATGGTATTCCTTACATGTGTTAAGAATTTGCTGATTCTTTCTTAAAGAAGTGAATATGTATGTGAAAAATTATGTTGGTTTGGCTGTCATGTGAGCCACTAAGTTTTGCTTTGGTGGTAGGGTCTTTTTTTTACCAGCTGTATGCTGTAGAAAAGATGCACTTTGCTTGGCATTGAATGGATAGTAGTTAGCAAAGTAATGTCTGTTTTTTATTATCAGAAACTTAGTATATTTACTGCTCGATTAGTAAATTAATATGATAAAATTTTCATGTCCCAAAACAAAAGAAAGAAATATTCTGTTTCATTTTGCATGGTTGATATTATCATTGCATTAAAAATGTTGAAATAAACAATAAAATTTGTGATCTTGTGGTTTACTCAGCACTATGTTTATTATTGATCATATCTATGTATTTTTAATGAAATATTGTAGATGAATGAACTTGCTGATATAGCACGATGTGTGGCAAATGCACCTCTGGATGATGACCGCACAACATCATATTTATTATCTTGTCTTGATGATTTACGAATTGTTGTAGAACGAAGGAAATTTGATGCACTTACTGTGGAGACTTTTGGAACACGTATCGAGAAGCTGATACGGTTTGTACTTTTCTGTTTTACATGTTATAGAACATCTCTAGAATATGGAAAATACTCCCAAGTTAAAATTGAACTTCAGTGGATGGATTCTAAATGAATAAATTTTAGGGTAAATTCTTGTTAAAGAATTCTTTTACAGAATAATCAAAAGCTTGTGACTATATACAGAATACCATATACCATGATAATATAGCTGTTTCTATGAGGAAATGTGTAATGTAAAGTGAGAAAGTATGGTTGGGTCCTTTTGCAACTAAATACAGAATGCCATATACCATGGTAATTTAGTTGGGGGGTTCATATTTAATTTCTCACTTTAGAACATAGTTATCAATAGCGGTTGCTATTGCGGCAGAGTAGAGCGGAGTGGTGTAGTCTCGCTATGACGACCTTGTAGCGTCGCGGTTCAGTGTTCGGGCTGTGAATAGCGGCCGGAAATTGCGGCTGTAGTGGCTGCTATGCTGTTCTCCCTAAAAATTTCGAATCTGTCCTCTGCCTCTCGCAAACCTTAGCCCCTCAACTCACCTCTCAACTCTCTCTTCAGCTCTCCTCTCATTTCTCCTTTCATTTCATCTCTTTTCTCTCTATTTCCATCGCTAGAGTGTGGCCTTCATCTTCGCCAAGGCTTCTAACAAGAAAGGGACGTTTTCCAATCATCTTCTTCGTTTCATGTAAAGTCTCTAATGTAACTAAGATTATTTTGAGTCATTTTCTTCATCTCTTATCGTCTTTTTCAAGTTCAGCAAAGCTTCCAACATCACCCAAACACTTTCCGGTCATCTTCTCCATCTTCAGAGATCTTTCCGGCGAACTGCACATTTTCCGATGACTGAACTTTTTTTTTCCTATTTTTCTTCCCTATTTTGATTCTTGTACTCTGTTCTGTTTCAAATTTCAAAGCTTCAAGTAAAAGCAATGGCTGCTCCGACACCCTTTGCTGTTTGTTATTTATTTCCTTCTCTAATTTGAGTTTTTTTTTTTGTTTTGTTCCAAATTTGTATATTAATTTTATATTTTTCAGCATGTACTTGTAACTTTCCCTTTGTTACTAGTAGCAGCAAGCAAAAAATTGAACATAGAATTGTGGTGTGTCAAACTGACACATGATGATCATGGTAAAATACTATAAAGTATCTGCATGATATATAAAATAAAAATTATCAGATTATATAAAAAATAATAAACATATTTCAAATGTGTTCTAGTACATGAACTTCACAAAATCTAATGTAACAGCAGCTCAAATGAAAGACAACAGAAAAATTGAAACTTATCCTAATCAATTTCATATAGCTTTGAAGGAATCTAATTGGTCTTTGTAGGTATGTGTGTGACTGTTGTGCTAATGTCTAGCCTCTGTTATGAACTTATGGGAATGAAATAAGTATGAAAGAACTGCAGCTATGCTGATTCAATTCTATAACTGCTGCTACGGGTTTGGTAAATAGAAATGGACATGAAACTTAAAAAAATGCTGTTTTGGTGAAGGAAATCAGAGAATAACAGAGAATCAAAGACAGGAGCATGTGATTCTGTGAGGGAAGTACCTCACTAATGAAGTGAGAGAAGTGGGGACTAGGTTGCAAACAAAATATAAAAGAATAGGGAAAAAAAACATAGCATAGAATTTAAAAACATTGCCACTGTTGCAAGATTGCAATGCCAACGCTTTCATATGCCTTTTTCTCCAAGATCTGGAACAGCAATCCACCGTTGCTGCAATTTAATAACATGGACTTTGCAAGTTGTTAACCTTTAGGTGATTATTCTTGATAAGTTGTAATTTTGTTTGGTAGAGAGAAGTATCTGCAGCTCACTGAGATGGTGGATGTTGAAAAGATAGATACGGAGAGCACTGTTGATGATGATCTGTTGGAAGAAGATGTGATTCGTAGCTTGAGAACAAGCCCGATTCATTCTTCAAGGGATCGTACCTCTATTGATGACTTTGAGATTATAAAACCTATCAGTCGTGGGGCATTTGGAAGGGTTTTCTTGGCTAAAAAGAGAACAACTGGTGATCTTTTTGCCATAAAGGTAATACTTTATGCTTCTAACTTACTGGTTACTGTTTACCCCCCGCACCTCTTGGTTTTGGTGGCTGTCATTATTCTATCATCTCTTAATTTCAACATCCACATCCTTGCATTTGTTGATTTGTTCCATACCTGTTTGTGCTTGCTACTTCATGTGGCTTGTAGAAGAGTTGTTTTATAATGTTGGAGTTTTATTAAACCTTGTCATTGCCTATTTGAAATGCTTGTTTTTGGGCAAAAGCCCCTTTTTTGACAGCTTCCTGAGAACCTTTTTTTTAAGAAGCAATCATTTTCCCAAAAATAATTGTATCCAAATTGGTATCAATTTCAAACATAATTGTACTTGTTCTTTATATATTTCACTAGTTGTTGTTGTATCTCTCATAACATGCTGCAGGAGTCATTTCGTATATAATATAAAATCTGCGTTAAATTCTTCTGTATGCTGAGTCTAACCTTTTATTTAATCATTTTCTTTTAATGATTTTTCTTTCTTATCTGGAAAACAAAATCTGCTTTGAAATATTCTTTACACTCTTGTAATGTTTATTACCCTTTGACTTCATGCTGTTTACATCTTTCAATGGTTTTTTGCTTATAAAGTAATTTTAATCCAATAAATTTTGGTGACATATCTTTGTTGGAATATCTTTATATATTATGTTGTTAATTGTTTCTATTTCTTGTTTTATGCTTGTACTCCCTAGTTCTTTATCCTATTGAGCTTATTTTCTAACAGGTTCTCAAGAAGGCAGATATGATCCGAAAGAATGCTGTGGAAAGTATATTAGCAGAGCGTGATATCTTAATTACCGTACGCAATCCTTTTGTGGTGAGCAGGTCTAACTTGTTTATTATTCCATGTTGCTTTGAGAAATGTTAATCTTGTTCTAACAATAGCTTCCACTTAATCAGGTTCGATTCTTCTATTCTTTTACGTGTCGTGAGAACTTATATCTTGTCATGGAGTATCTGAATGGAGGTGACCTGTATTCATTATTAAGGAATTTAGGTTGCCTAGATGAGGAAGTTGCCCGTGTATATATTGCGGAAGTGGTAATTATTGGTTCTATTTCTTTACTGGCTTGCTCCCTCTCTCTCTCTGTGGTAATTTGAAAAAACAAATCTTTTATTACATCATCTAAAACAAAACTTTTCATCTGATGTTAGGTGCTTGCATTAGAGTATCTGCATTCACTGCGCGTGGTTCATCGTGACTTGAAGCCTGACAATTTATTGATAGCACATGATGGTCACATCAAGGTAACTACTGAGTCTGTTTTGATTTCTTTTTACAAACCTCCAAGCCATGGTTCAGTGAGAAGCTAGTCTTGTATTTTTGCATAAAAGTAATGTATAAATTTTATGACTTTTGGTTGGGGTAGCCTGTTAGTCTGGTGGTGATTTCGAAATTTTTGGGGCTTATATATATAATGAATGGTTTGAGTTTTGCATCTTTACTATTATTAGTTTCTTTCAATGGCACAGTCAATATCACTCCTATAAGCTGTGATTTTATTCATGTTAGGTTCAACTTATTTTAGAAAAATAATCATTTTTTAGTTTTCTAAGAGCTTTTGAGGAAGAAAAAGCAATTGTTTACTCCCAAACATGTATTTAATACCAAGATACAGAACTTTATTTTCCCCATGAAGATATTGTGAAAAATAAACTTTTTGCTAGCTTATATGATATTGAATATTCTCCCTTTACAGTTAAGTTAGTTGCTCATTGGGCCAATTCCAAGAGTAAGTTTTAGACACTTCTACCTTCAATAATTTTTTCTACCATAAATTTAACCATTAAATCATGGGATATTATGTATGTCAATTTTAAAATGAATTTGAGTTGGACATTCATAAATATGTAATCTTATAATTGACATGTACTTGTATTTTTAAAAAATATATTATATGGTAATCTAAAATTAATTGACGAAGTATCAAGTAATTTTAAAATTATATAAAATTTTGTAAACTTGATCTACTCAATAAGAACTCTTGAACTAAACGTTGAATTAATGGAAGTCAATGTCTATATATATATATGTATGTATGTATATATTACTTTTGTTATATTAGTGTGTTTGGATGAGCTTTTCAAAGTTTCAAACTGATGTACCAAAAAAGTGCTCTTTTGAGCCATTTTTCCCTAGCTATTTTTTAATGATTGTAAGGAAAAGATTTTTTTAATCATAGAGAAGCTGTTAAAAAATTTAAGCGAAGTACTCAATATTACATCCAAACATATAACTTTTACTTTTTTAAAAGATCATTCTAAAAAAGCCCACATATAAAGTTCTTTTTAAAAGCTCATCCTAACAAGCCCAGTGTTTTTCCTTAGTTATACATTGCCTCCTGTTGAGTTTCAACATGCATGTAACCCTGTGGCTCTTTGAATAAATTTGATAGATACTGATGTTGAGGAAGTCAACCTAATTTTTTTGTCTACTTTTGCAGTTAACAGACTTTGGGCTTTCTAAAGTTGGTCTCATCAACAGCACAGATGATTTGTCTGGTCCAGCAGTGAATGGGACATCCCTACTTGGAGATGATGAACCTCATGTATTTACATCTGAGGATCAAATGGAAAGAAGGAAGAAACGTTCAGCAGTGGGCACGCCTGATTACTTAGCACCAGAGATACTTTTGGGAACTGGACATGGTTCGTATATTCCCATTTTCATGTTTAAGGTGGTTAGATTTCTGGTTTTTTCTCCCTCACTCAGATTAGATTTTGTCAATGTTAGCATTTGTTTTTTGATAAATCATTACAGAAACATGATTTTCCTTCTGTTTAGATTTAACTTCTTAAATCTTAATGATGTTGAAAAATCTTGAAGCACTTTTATAGTGAAAGGATGAAACTGACTGATTTATTTTTATCATTGTAGCCTGCTGATTTTTTTAATGATTTTACAATATACTGGTGAATATTCATTTTTTTTTTGTGTGTATTTACCATTGCAAAATAACAATCAAAACACTTGTTCAAATTTTTACAGGGTATACTGCCGATTGGTGGTCTGTTGGGGTCATTTTATTTGAGTTGCTTGTTGGTATTCCACCCTTCAATGCAGAGCATCCTCAGGTATATACCCTGCTTGCTATGATGAATATTTATATTGGTTTTTTGTTTCTCTTCTTGTTAGTTTTGCCTTTATATGATGGAGTTCTCTCTGACATGATGTTATTTTTGTGTTTGTAGACTATATTTGATAATATTCTTAATCGTAAGATACCTTGGCCTGCAGTTCCTGAAGAAATGAGTCCTGAAGCACAGGATCTTATTGATCGGTACTAGACATGCTATATTCTAATTGTTCTTTACTGTTCTTGTTATATGCATTAAAAAAATATTTGTTTTGAATAAAATATGTTAGAACATTGAATCCTTGTATATGTTTCAATAATTTTTATTGTAATCTGATTTCTTGTCATGGGTTGTTATTCGCAGTTATGCACTCAATTAAGAAAGTTGGATGTTTTTTCATTTAGTGTTTTGAGATTTTCAATTTTCAGATTATTGACAGAAGATCCTAATCAAAGACTAGGAGCGAAAGGGGCATCAGAGGTGATCTAATTTCTTATAATCATATATATTCTTGTTCTCAATTTTTATGATAGATATTTTCTTAATTTTTTTCCTTTCAAGTGTTAAACTGATAGACACTTGATGCAGGTAAAGCAACATGTTTTCTTCAAGGATATAAACTGGGACACACTTGCCAGGCAGAAAGTATGTGATAGTTGAGTTATAAATGTTATTAATTCTGCTACCTTTCTTTTGATTTAAATATTATGTGCTGAACCACATAATGCCTTTGTTGGTTTTGCAGGCTGCATTTGTTCCTACTTCTGAGAGTGCTTTAGATACTAGTTACTTCACTAGTCGCTACTCATGGAATACTTCTGATGGGCTAGTATATCCAGCTAGTGATGTTGAGGATTCTAGTGATGCCGATAGTTTAAGTGGCAGCAGTAGTTGCTTGAGCAATCGTCAAGATGAAGTGGTACTACATTTGTAGACATTGCTAGATGGAAAATACTAATTGAAATCAAATTAATATTATGGCCTGACTTTCTCCTTGTAACAGGGAGATGAATGTGGGGGTCTAGCTGAGTTTGATTCTAGCTCATCTGTCAATTACTCTTTTAGTAATTTCTCCTTTAAGGTAATGATCTCAAATCATATTCTATCTTTCTACTTGAACTAAACAATTAGAATTAACTTTCATGAATTATGCATGGTCTATTGCCCTTCTCTTCTTTCCTAAATATTCTCTTATATGGTGTGTGTAATTTTTCCATTTGCTTTTCAGAATCTCTCTCAGCTTGCATCAATCAACTATGATCTCACCAAGGGATGGAAAGATGATCCGCCAGCCAATTCTAGTGCATAGCTGTCTTATCCTGACAAAGTCCAGAATTTGGTTTTCGACCTATGATCCAAGCAATTTTGGGGGCATAAGCACCTTTATTGTTTGTATACCTTGTACATGTATGATTCTGCATAACTTGTCGCTTCACCATGTAGTCTATTCTTTCTGACCATGTATTGCTGGTTTTTGCAGAGATTTAGAGGTTCAAAGTGGTTCAGGATGGTACACTTGGCTTACTAGGTTACAGGGAAGCCCGCTCCGGTGGGGGTGGGGTTCAATGTTACGGTTTATTGTGTATGAATTGAGAAGTGTAAATTTAAAATTTGGCTCACTTTGTTCTGTGGCGAATTCTTATTATACTGGCAATGAGAACACATCCCTTTTTGTTCTGCCCACTGTAATATTATTATTTGCTTAAACAATTCAGATTGGGTTGTTGCCAAGTCTTTTCTGGTGCTCCCTCCCCTTCAAGCACTGCGTCATAAACAACTTGTTCGCGTGGTTTCTATTGGTTTCTTTAACTTAGTTTGGCTATGTTAACGTAACATCAGTTTGAACCCCACTCCTTTTTTCTCGCAGCCTAATGCTAGAACGTAACGGTAATTGGAAATAAGTCATTTCACTTACACCAGTTAGTGCCAAAAACGTTGATGTAATTCGGTACAATAGTGCTGGTTTTTTTTGTAATCTGTCGCATTTTAATGTCATTAACTGCAAAACAATAAAAGAGTCAAACCCGGTTTTTTTACACTGTTAAGGACAATATCCTCTCAAAGATGAAAGTGAAAAATGGAAAAATAAACGTGGGGTGGAAGTGATACTTTCTCCCATTTATTTGGATTTGATGAAGGTTGTCATTTATTTGGGATAGTAATATGTGGGATCATTTATTACATCGTGGAGGTAATGTTAATTTCCATCGTCGTTTTTTCTTATGTTGTTATTTTTAAGAATACCTTGTGCATAGTTCGTAAATAAAAGTAGGAAAGGAACTTGTAATTTTTAAAACTAACGTGGCAACCGTAGCAATAATATATAGTCTAAGAATTAAGTGTATTTTTTTTAAATAGATTATAACTATTATTAATGCTAATATCTGGTAATTAATCTAATAAAAATATTTACACAAAATTTACAGCTCAATTTATTACTTAAATATGCATGCCTGTTTATCCATTTACACCAATTTGTTTATACAAAATTAAATTGTTAAATTTAAATATTTTTTATGAAGAGTAAACAAGGTGTACTCTTAAGTTGCAATTTTTTTTTATGATTATATTATAATATAATAATTTAATAAGATGCTTTAAATATAAAAAATAAAATTACAACTATAATATATTAAAATTTAAAAATGATATAAGTTGGGTTGAGTAATATACTTATCTAGACGTGAAAAAAAATCCAAAAATGCATATAGAAATATTTAACTTAAGATATATACTTGTTTAATAGTACTTATTACAATACTCTTAAATTTGAGGGGTCATTGAATACCCTCTTTAGATGGAGGGTACATTGTTTTTAATATCTTAAAAGTTAAAGAGTATTTATATTTGTTTTTTTCAAATAAATCACTAACTTTATTATCTATTGATATAAAATTAACTATCATAATTATCACACGTATAAGAGATTATATAATACTCTTATTTTACAAAACACCGTAAAATTACCATTTAACCGTACATAAACTTGTAAAATTCACTATTTTCCTCTAAATTTTGACTTGATCTGTATTTTTAATGTATTCACAGATCTCAATTCTTTCTTGGCACACTATAAAATAATATTTTTCCACTTTTGATATAAAACATAATGTCCTCCCTTTTCTTTGACAAGTGATAGCATTTTCATTTATCCAAATATATATATTTCACCTCTTATATAAAATCGATTTAATCTTAAATGGTTGTCCTTGCTCTACAAAAAAATAATCATGTGTTGACATCTTGAGTATAATATTAAATTAGTTACAGCAATTTTCAGTGGTGAGGAATATGCTTGGCGCCAAATAATATCTAGCAGTGTTAATTTGTCAGAAAGAAAGCGACAATGGTCCAATGCTTGTGTTTGTGCTACCATAACTGTCACCAATTCTGGAAGAAAATTGCAGAGAACAGGACAACAACATCCAAAGAGGCAAGAGTATCCCATGTAGTAAAATGTTATCTTTCATTGTTTTCCAACCTTATTTGAATGCATTCCCTCTAGGTATTAACAAAATTAAAATGTCCAATATGGATTAAATCACTAGATGCCAATATAATATGACCATGAACCACAATGAAGTAGCAGTAGGACCACTATGTCTGAAAGGGTCACTTTAAAATGTAGTGCCCCTCCACTGTGATTATGTGTACCCTATTTTGGTGTACCATGAAGTTACAATTACAATCACATCCACACATGCATCATCCTTGCGATATGAACTTCAGTTGGGGTTGTACTCAACTGAGGGTAATTATTTCACAAGTGCCAGCCATTGTCATGGATTAATGTTTGAATTTTAAAACAAGATATTATATACATACAATATATATTTTTTGCTTTTTTCAACATATTATTTTTTTTGTTTTATATTTTTTTTCTTTTTCTCTCTTTTTTATTTTTATGATTTGTTGTATAGATATATATTAGTGTATGAATATAAATTTTCTTTTAAAATCTACATTATGGATAAAAGGCATTTGTTTTAATACTTGCTGAGTCACACAATACCAAAATTGACTCATGGGGACCAATGTAGCTGACCTTCCAAGTTGAACACTGTAATACCCTAATATTGACATTTTTTTAATAATCAAAATATGGTAATTTTAAAACAGTAGTCTATTGTTGAAAATCAAGTCAGATTAAATTTTGAATTATTCAAAATAGCCATTAAATCTTAAACTCTTACTCCAATTTTTTATATATTTAAATTATCTCTAAATCTAAATGGAAAATTTATTTTAATATTATAATTTAAAAAATAATTTATCACTTTATAGGTAATCTGAAACAATTTCTCACTCTGATATTTTTTTGGATTACGTGGCCATAAGTTTCGCCATATCGTTTGGCAAATATATATATTTTTATTATTGTTAATTGAACTTTGCCAAAAGAGTTGCGAAATTAATAGAAATGTGACACATGTCACGTATAGAAGAATTTCGCGTATTTGATAGCGAAAATATTTTTTAATTTATTTTTAAATAAATTTTGCTACAGAACTGGCGAAACAAATGAGAACTCGACATGTGTTAATAGGTTGTTTAAATTAGCAATTTTAGTGGCAAAATTCTTAAAGAAATCGACAGCCAACCTGCGAAACTTACTGGGATCCAATTACCAGAATTTTTGCAAATTATATGACAAAATTTGAACATTATATATACCCCCACCCTCCTCTCATTTTCACCGAAGAAGAGAAAATTAGAAGAAAACCAGGTATGTTTAATTTAATAATTTTATTGTTTAATTTTTAATATATGAATTTAATTATTTTTAATTAAATAAATTGTTAAATTAATTAATGAGTATTGTTTATTTTATTTATGTTAATTATTGTAAATTTTAAATATTAAATAAAGTTTATTTGTGAAAATGCAGGATGAATGGAATTGTTATTATTATATATTGAAATGGTAGAATCTATGAAGAAAATGAAGGAGTAAATTTAGAAGGAAGTAAGAAAGTAGTTCATATAAAATGAGGAATAAGTTATGAAATATTGAAAAGAAAAATTCACCTAAAACTTAATCTTAACCATAATCAAGTTATTTCTAGATTAATTTATCGTTTTTTGATTGATGGAAATATTAGACATTATATAGCTTTGAATATATATGATGATAAAGATATGGATTGCATGATAAGTTCATTTCAACGATAATCTAGTAAAAATATTATTGAGTTATATGTAGATATTGCTGTTAGTAGAAGTTCATCGATATCTTTACAGATGATGAATTTAAATTTATCGCTTTCACAGCAAAATAATAGGACCCTTGTGAGTCGTGATTATAATGAAGGTAAAATTATTTTCTTTGTAATATCTTTTAAGTAATATATGTAATTGATTAAATTAAAACTGATAAATTTGTTGCAATAAAGGAGTTAGAAATGATGCTGATGAAGATAATGAACACTTAGATTATGAGAGTTACACTAATGGAGATGATGAAGCAAAAATTTCGTTAGGCATTTTTTCTTCTACCGATGTTGAAAGCGAATTTCATTCCAACTTAGATATACAAGTAATGGAAAATGTAGGAAGTAATGTGAAATAATTATAATTTTTTTTGTAGTTATTTATTTATATATTAATGCTAAATATAATGCAGGAGATACTGTAATTTCTTTTTGGAATTACTCCAAAGTATAGGTATATTAATTGAGAATATTCTGATCAAGAAATGAATGAAGAACATCTTCATGAAGTCAATTCATAGGTTGACGAAGATCCTTTATTTGTTGACTTATTATTTGATAGTAAAGAAAATGTGAAAAATGCGTTAAAACATTACGCAATGAAGATTCAACAAAGTTATCTTGTGGTTGAGTCTAAACCAACACGTTTGTAAGTTAAATGCTTAAACTATACCTCTGGTTGTCCATGGAGAGTGAGAGCTTCATTGTTGAAAAATTCAAACAAGTGAAAAATTACTAGGTGGGGTGGTTCACATATATGTGTCAATATGAGAATTTCTCAAGATCATGAAAAGTTAAATTCTGATTTAATTTGTTCATGCATTCTTGGTAAGACAAATATATATATATATATATATATATATATATATATATTACAATGACATTCTTATTAACTTGATAAAATTTATTTTATGTAGGAATAGTGAATGAAAAACCGTCGATACATATTTCATTGATATAAGAGCGAATATGTGCTCAATTTAGATACAAAATTTTATATAAAAAAGCTTGGAAGGCAAAGCAAAAAGCATTGTTAAAGTATTTGGTGATTGGGATGAATCATATGCTACCTTGCCTTGTTGGTTAGAATACATGTAATTACATTCTCTTCGATCTGTTTATAAATTTGAAACAAAAAAATATGTGATTGGTCATCAAGTGGATAACAAGTGTAGAGTATTTTGAACGACTATTCTGGTCATTCGAACAATGTCATGAGGCTTTTAAATTCTATAAACCTATATTACAAGTGGATGAAATGTTCTTATATGGTAAGTATCGTCATATGTTGCTCATTACAACAACTAAAGATAGAAATAATTGTGTTCTTCCAATAGCTTTTGCAATTGTTGAAGGAGAAACTTTGTCAGCATGAGAATGATTTTTGACATTGATTTGTTTGCATGTTATCGATAGAGTGGGAATTTGTTTGATATGAGATAGACATCAAAGTATAAAAGGAGCTGTGTCAAATCTACACATTGTGTGACAACCTCTAAATGCGTATCATGTATATTGCATTCGTCATATTGCCAGTAACTTTAATCACCGGTTTAAAAATATAGCATTGAAGAAAGAGCTCATCAAATTGG